TATTAATGTATCATATCTTCCATATCAAGAGAATTACAATGTTCATTATTGACAGATCAAATATTTAGATAGTTACTGTATGAACAAACACATTCCTGCCAGGGTTTTCTTTGCTGTCTTCTCAACAGAATCTGACAGATTTGGTTCTTCATACTTGAATCAAATATGAGTGCTGATCTTTGGTTGTCATTTTCTCTATGACCTTAAGTCAACCTGGTCCCAGATATAGATTTGCTCACATTGCTAAATACCACCTTGTCACTTCACCAACTACAATCTGGATACTGGCATAAGGCAGAATTGTCTCTTGATCCCTGGCCGATGAGATCCTCCCAATGCCGAAGTTGGGTCTGCTGGATCACAAGTACATTGTGTATCACAATTTGCTACTAAAAGTAACAAATTTGCGCCATGTAAATTTTAATGGGTCTACTAATGTCATCTCAGGTTTTCTCAGATGTCAAAATCAAGGAAGAAATGTCACAACACCGGATTCGATGATAAAAAAAAATCTGAAGTTTTAGTTTTCTTCAGCAAGACAATTATAATAATTCGGGAAGTTTGACAACACTTTAATTTTTTCTTTCTTGTGGATTTGAAAAGAAACTCATGCCAAAAAATCTGTTAAAATTTTTTTGTTTGATCTTTCTCCAAGCATTTGTTTTTTATTTGATACTGTAAAAAATTATTACCAGCAATAAATTTTTGAAGAAAAAAACTATTACAAGCAATAAATTTTTGAAGAAAAAAAACTATTACCAGCAATACATTTTTGAAAAAAAAATATTCCCAATAATATGTTTTTGAAAAAAAAAAAAAAAATCTCTACAATACATTTTTGAAAAAAAATATTACCTGCTATATATTTTTTGAGGAAAAAATATTACCTGCTATATATTTTTTGAGGAAAAAATATTACCAGCAATACATTTCTGAATGAAAAATATTACCAGAAATAAATTTTTGAAGGGAAAAAAAATATTAGCAGAAATAGATTTTTGACAAAATATTAGCAGCAATAAAAATAAAATTTTTAATAAGCCATTGAGGTTGATATGCTGTAAAACAAAACAGACCAGACACTCCATATTGGTACATCTCTTGATGTCCATTTCTTCTATGTTTGTCCTGATGCAGTTGTGATAATGGTTGATCTTATTTACATTGTTCAGACTATCATCCTCATCTTTGTTGCCATATTTATCACAACGTTTTGGCTGTTGTACACTCCGGCCTTCTTCAGGTGGTTGGAATGCCGAACCGAACCCTTTATTTTGCTCACTGGCGTAGACTGTTCTAGTTCCACGTGCCATGTCTAAATGGATGTCAGTTATCAGTTATCTCCTGTTAATTCCCCTATCCAAGTTCTTCACTGCCTTAACCAGGCATTGAAATCACACTCTTTGAGTCCTGTCACTGGATCTAACTAATGCCTTTATCCACCGTGCCATGTGTCCTTGAGGACATCTGTGTATGAATTTCTGGGACTTATAAACCTAATGTCTTCAGCAACCATTTTTTACCAGTGCTCATATTTTTGCTGTTATCATTGTATGTTTTTTACCAGAGCTCATATTGCAATTTTTGTTGTTATTATTGTTTTTCTCTGACACTCCTTATTACTGGTTCCCATATTGTATTCATTTCTATGCTTGGTCAGCTCAGGAGATTTTTGTGGCCTAGCATATGTGCTGATTCCTTAAGTTTACAAATTTTCCAATGATGTTCTTTGACTATGATTTCAACCTGATCCCACAAAGGGTGGTGATTTCCCTTTTCTCTCCATATGTGGTCAGCCACGTTTGATTTTTCCACTTCCCCTCATGTTACAGCTTTTTGGTGTTCTTGAAGCCTTACTTTAAGGGGGCGGTCTGTTTCCCCTTTATATTTCTTTCCACAGTTGCACGAGATGGTGTACACACAGTCTTTAGCCGACTTATCATGCCCATCCTGAAACAATTCAATGGGACACACGGTTGTTGTTAATCTGGGCCTCAACTCATCCAGCATAGTTATATTTTGCTTCTCTTTCTAAAAAAGATTTCTAAAATAATTACATTCATTTGTGAATAAGTCCCGAAAGTTTCATTAAAACAGACAATTATTTGATTTTTGCAAGAATTTCCAAAACAATGTGTTTTCTACTGTGAGACACTAAAATTTCCTATACTTCTACAACGGATGGATGCCATCACATGCCTTGGACACTGCACTTGCTTGTCACTTGATATAGGTGGTTGCTATGGGGCTCCTTGAGGCAGTGTAAAGGTTAGCAAGCTTGTCTCGCTAGAACAATTATGACTGAGTAGTGAGTTCAATCTTCACTGGGTGCCCCATGCTTTCAGCCTTGTACCACATCTAAGCTACATCTGAAAAATCACTATAAGTGGTTGCTATTGTTAGCTAACCACAGATGGGAATGTGTTCTACAAGTTGTCTACACAGAGAAAACATGCTTCAGCAAGTAATGACTTCAGGAAGGTCAGGGACTTTACTTCCCCACTTCCATCAAAGAGCACCAGTCTGGGTCCATAATTGGATAGATGGTCACTCACCCATGGCACAGAAACCAAGGCTTCATTGATAAAGATGTCATCTATATAAGCTGATGTGACATCTTTGACACATTCTGGAACATGACTAAGTCGATGATAGCCCTCATAATGACAGGTGCTATATTTAAGCCAAATCTTAATCATATAAGGCCACAATGCCTTGTCAACGTGTATCTGTAAATAAGCCTTCCTCAAATCTAACAGGGACACATTTATCCATGCCATGTCATTCCCTCAGTGCCAGAAGTGAATGCTTCCATAAAATCATTCAATTCCTTATAATCAAACATTGGCAAAACCTTCTGTTAGTTCTCCTGAACCACCACCATCAGTGGAATCACGAACCCGGATGGATAGAGCTCACTTTCAGGATATGGCAGCAGCCATTCATTGTCTAGCCACAGCTGCAGTACTTTTTCATACTCGTCCTGGATAGCATCAGGCACAATGTACTCAAGCACTGTTTATCAATTTTTTGGGTGTGACCACTGGCAGTAAGGCAGTCCAAACCTTCTGATGGTTGAATTGCACACTAAAATCATGTTCGTTGATGTAAATGGCAGCACACTAGGGTATATCTTCCTTGAGGAACTACACTTCCCCTGATTTAATTATGCACATTCCCCCAAGCTTCCAGATCGCATCAACTCCCAGAAGCAGATGTTCCATCCACAACCAGGACTTCAAAATTCACAGGTCAAGCTTGACCAACATCCAATTTTGACTGTGCCATGCCACTTTAGTGATTTCCCATCAACTGTCAACACCTTCAACACCAGGATTGTCAAAGGCAGCATATACATCTGCAAGCAGCCAGAATCTACAAGGGCTACACACTTCTGTTCATTTATAAGCACTTTGATAACAAGTAGTGTATTGTTCTTTACTTTATCGGGGAGGAGCCTGACATTGACATCTTCCTCCTGAACACTTTCCCTGGCACTCAGATGAGATGTGTCCAACCTTGTTGCACCAAAAACAATGCACTTCACGACATGATTCAAGCACCAGGTTATCTGTCACCTCCAGGCATCCTTGCTTACAGTCCTTAGCAAAGTGGTTCAAACCAGAGCACCAGAAACAAAGCATGCCAACCTTGCACATGCCAGAAGGAGGCATCTCAACATGTGTTCATTGAATAGATGCAGTGATTGACTCTTCAGGTTTTTGGTCATCTGTCATAATGGCACTTGCTCTAAGGTCATAGTCTGTATTCTGGACAATGTTCTAAGAAGCCATCTGATGATACGAATACACACACCATCCACTAATCAGGTAACTATACACCAACCAGCCTAGCTGTAACTCTGCCAAAAAATTCATCAACAGTTTCCCCAGGATGAAGTTGTGTGGTCAAAAGAAATTAGCAACTTTGTTGTGAGACACAATTTCAGATTGGGCGTTTCTCCCCTCTACACTGGTTTCTTGGTATTTATCATTGTTATCTGCCTTGTATCCACTTCGTTCATTCATTCCACCATAACTGCATGTATCATATGATGTACCCTAACAGAATTTGCTCTTTTCTTCAAGATGGTCTCGTTTGATGGAACAAGGCACTCACCTTCTCTCAAATTGAAATCTTACATGCCATACCCATATGAACTCTCTCTTTTCGAGACACAGGCAAGTCTTGTTCACCACTTCCGCCCCTTGAATCAGGTTCTGGTTCACTATGTCTGCTATGAATTGCCTCGCCATGAACAGGTCAAACACATTGAAAGAGTGTACATGGTCACAAGGGCTTGCTTTATCTGTTGTGTCTGACCTCTGCTACTTAGTTGCCAGTATACAATAGTAATGGCAGAACATGCTCAATCCTCTTAATGCTGCACAGTTCTCATACCAACTCAATGTTCTCAACCCATTATTACATAATTGGTAAATTGATGACAACACCACTAAATTCCAGGGATCAATCAGGCATCAAGTCTTCTTCGAAGTCTTCTTCGCCATCTCATGAAAAAATTAAGAGTGGCCAAAATAGTTTGTAAAAATGGTAATTTCCTTCGGGCTTGTAATCAGTTTCCTAAATCAACTACTCCTCTGACACTGAGCACAACACATGTCTCCTGATCACTCCCTGTCTGTTACCTCGTTATCCACAATTTATATCTTCATTGACAGCCAGAATTTACATATATAAAAAGAGACTATCATGAAAGTCTATCTGACTCATAGATCTGACTGTTTTAAATGTGTGACCTGCATAGCGAACACATTTTCCTGTTAGGATAGTTTGCATGCTAGACACATCCAAATCTGTTTTTGTCCTGGAGGTAAACCATTTTCAGTTCTCTAACGTTACATTGACTGTTGCAAAAGATGCATGCAACCCCAGACTTCCTTGTGCTCTACGGTAGTTCACTACATAAAACTTTGTTGTTTTTTTTATCGAAAAGGCGAAATGCAGAGAAGATTGGACTCTTTTCGGCATCTCATCCCATGTACGCATGTAACTACTATACTTTATTCATTCGACCTACTTGTTCGATTAGGGATAAATCTTCAGATGCGTTGGAATTATTTCCCTTTCACGAATCATTCTTCTTCCGTTTTGATTTTTTTGTGCGAATCACTTTTTTTATTTGGTTGCTCAGTTTTTTAGTCCTTGTAAGTTTTATCTTTTTATATTATGACTCTATATTGTACATATTTATTTTAACTACTTAATATATGTTATGCATAAAAACAAAATACTCTCCTAAGCAAGTCAAGCTACTCATTTAAAAGAAAACTATTTGACTAAATTTCCAGAGTTAATTTTCAAGTTGTTTAATGTTAATAATTTGTTACTCGTCTAATTTAAAAAAAACAACAACCTTGCAGTATTATTATTTTGGGCAATAAAATGAAATTGTAGCAGTAACGAGAAATCTTTTAGTGACCATGATCAAACCTGCTTTTCACCAGTTAAGTTTGCAGTTACACTTTACTTTAGTTATTGAATTGTCTGTGCGTCAAGAAAATGCCGAGGAAAATATTTTCCAAAATATTCTAGCTGTTTAATTTTATTTTTCTTCCCGTCTTTGTCATAATTTTATTTAAAAACTTAGTTTTACTTAAACTTTTAAGTCTTATGATACATAGCCAAAAAGAGTACATTTTCCACATTTTTCGTTTAGGTACTTCCAAAAATTCGATTTAAAAAAAATGAGCATACATGTTTTTTTCCAAAACGAAAGCAAAAATCACTACTCTTTCTTGTTTTAAAATATTTGACAAAAAATTGCATAATAAAAAAATACTCGATAATTTTATTGTCAAAAAATTCAAGGAGGAAAGACTTTTAATAACTTTTTTAAAAGTTTTACTTTAAACCTTCGAAATTTTGGTTAAAAAATTTTCATTTTTACGTAAAAATTGAGCATCTTTTTGCGGTGAAAAACAGATTTGTAAATTTTTACAAAAATTAGGTAATTATTATTTTCACGCTACCTCTTGTTTTTAAGAATTTACCAAAAATCAAGAAATTATCAGATTTAAATGAAATTTTCAGCACTTATTATTTTGAATTAATGAATGGCTTGTATAGTGAGTAAATAGGTTTTTCATCTCCTACACATTAATAATGCCATCAATTTTTTCCCCCGAAATGAATGCAAAAGAACGCTACCCACATCAGAAAATTATCCGATTTAAATAAAATTTCCAGCACTTATTCATTAATGAATGACTTATATACTGAATAAGTTATTTTAATAGAAAACATTGTAGAAATATTTTTTGGTTGGGAGTAACTGATGCTCCCTAGACATTGCGAATACTTTTTTTTTAGTTTCATTGGACCGGGGTGATAACATATTTTTTAGTTTTAAAGAAAAATCCTTGAAGATATTTTAATTTTATGAAAAGATTTTTGGAATATTAAATCAGAATATCTTACAAAGATAATTAAATTATTCAATAAAACTCAAAAAGTAATTTTTTGTTGAGACTAGGTGCTTGCATAATTTAATAAAATATTTTCTTTTAGATTTGACAGAAAAAATTTACAGTGAATATTTTTTTCTTAAATTTACTTGTAATTTTTCAGTATGATTTTAAAATTCTGTTGTTTGCTGATGACAAAGATCTTTTATTAAAGATGTGTTTGAAGAACTGAAAACGTAAAGTTTAAAAATTCATATTTGCATTAGAAATATTTTTATGAGAATTTTCTTTTTGCAACTGTTAAATTATTTTTTGTTTGGAAGATCCAATAGGAAATAATTCAACAATTCTGAATGACCTTAATATTGGTCATAGATGGTTAAAAATAATTATGTATGTCTGGAAGTGTCTAGAATATTTTGACATTGGAAGCTGAAAGAAAGCAAAATAAAGGCAATCAAACAGTATTGTTATACTCTGCTTTTAATTAGAACCTGTCAGTTGGATGTGAACACGATAAAAGCAAAAATAAAAAAAAATCACTCTCTGCACATGGACTCCAAGCATCACAAGTGGCTCATGAAACAAATCTTTCTGCATAAAAAACAAAAACGTCAGAACCAATCACAAACATTGCTGCTAAAGCAAAAAAAAAATGACATGTATCCACTCTGCATGCTTCAAGAGTCCACTAGGCGACCCTCAAGGCATTTTGCAGTGATCTCTTGGTCAATCAACCTGATATAAGCTTCAACATAACCAACTATCCCACCTCCTTTGCCCAGAGTGCTGCCTCACTCACCTGCAAGAGACATTCTACCTTGTTCCAATGTATACATTAGTAATACAGATAATTTTATTTTAACATCTTGTCTCCTTTTCTTTTTGCCTCATCAGCAATACATCATTGTTTTTCGTTTGTTACTCTTGCAAAAACTGGTATCAGTATGCAGCGGGAGAGCAAGCAAAATGAAATTACACTGGCCTCACCCACACAATTCTCAACCTCAAGCAACAGTAAACACAATCCTGAATCTCAAAACCTACCCAAAATACACAGGTAAAAATTGGACAAAAGCAATCATTGTAGTTAGACCCGCAAGAAATGTTGGCCACCCTAAAATCTGCCACTATTAAAACCACAGACATAGCCCACAACCCCGTAGACTACAAACTACTAATGTGGCAGCAATCATTGATGCAATAAGAAAGATCAGAAAATTCGAACCAATGATATCAACCACTTTATTACAGATCTGAACAAAGCATACTTGATCTGAATTAGACCAGGACTCACCAACTACCCATCTACTGGAGGATGAATTTGTCAATCACCAAGTAGCTCTTTAACAAAGGCATATTCCAACAGATGGTAGACTAGCAACAGAACACCTTCATCTAAGAGCAGTTAAAGGCCTACCTTACGGCTACTCAAGGCAGCCAAATAACAAATTTTCAACACCTCAGCTAAGCATGGTATCTCCAATGATGAGATGGTGAGAAATTGACAGGCTGACTCAAAATAGTTCAAGCTGCCACCATCCATACAAAGCAAAGTTCAGATAACAGGAAAGCAGAAATAATTGCTGACACTGTTTTTTCTCTAATAGATGCTATGCTCATGAGCAAGAAGATCAAAGCCTGGACACTCACGATTTGCACTACTTGGTAAGCAGTCTAGCAAGTGATGTACAACATTACCTTGACTGGGTTATTAAAACTGACACCATAACCGCCCTTGATTCCACCATAATGCATGCATGTAAAATGCAGTGTCTGGACAAACCAAACTGTTCCAGTTTACACTGAGCAAGTGCTGGTCAGTATAAGGCAGCAACCATTTCAGATAAACCGGTAACTCTGCAGCATGAATTCACATGGCCCAACATCAACCAACCAGATTCATACCCAGACCCACCAACTAAAATTGTGGCCCTGCTATCTGAAGGAATTATGTGAAGTGCTTAAGCACAGATCACAACTGCAGATACAAGAAGCAGGAAATGAAACACCCCGTATCATTTTCCTGAATCCTTTCACTGAACTGGATATTCAGTAGGGAATGTATGAGATGTGATGTCTTGTCCCCTGGTCCACAATTTTTTCAATCATCATTACTTATTCAACTTCCAGTGGTCACCTAAGAAACAATCCCTATTCATCAAGGTCAACCTCGCCATTGATAATTTCAACATCACTAGTATTGACATGCTGGAATCTAGATGCATTACCTGAATTTAAATGATTTCTCATTTACCCAAAGAAGAAAAGGAGGTATATGGTCTAATCAAAAATCTGTGTTAGTGGAATTGAAGGTAGCATTTCCATCTTTGGTAAATTAATCTATGGTATTACTGTTGATGATCATCACTCACCTGTATTCAAAGATGGATATACTGGTCACATCTTCAATCATACCAATCTCAATTGATCAGAATATTCACTGACATCATATTTGGTAAACAATCAAAAAGCAACAGTTGAATTCAGGCACATACTCCCATCTGGTGGCACAACACACTTAGCTCCATTAGTTCCAATCGCCAACCTGAATACACTTTCCAACCCTGCATGGTGTCAGTAATGAAGCCCAACCTACAGTAAAATTTTCGCCTGATAACCAGACATTAAAACTGCTTGTAAGTTACAATAATATCCTTGGTACTGCAGATGATAAAAAGGGCATATTGATTAAACCAGTTCACATAACAATGTTTAATCCCACAGTCAAAAGCAGCATCCATTTGCCCAAACACTAGATGACATCAACACTGAAATTACACGTATGACCACAGAAGGAAGAACAGCAAAATCTCTGTTGTCAAGAGGATGCTCAATGAAGTGTTGGTAGATCTTGATCTATATCCAATGCCAACAATCTACTCCATATTCAACAAAATTGGTGAAGGTAAAAAATACTTTACATCTCTAAATCGCTGCAATGGTTATTGGTAGATCATCATTTATGAATATAACTGATGTGATGGAATAACCTGTCACCCCCATGAGTGACTGCACTATAGTTAGTAACTACCTATAAGTATCTGTAAGTCAACAGACTACAGAGAATAGCTGGAATCTGTTGAGTATGACTCAGACTTATGTAAGAACTATCAACCTTCCAATAGTATCACTCACTACTAGATTGACTTGCGACAACCTTAACTGCATAACTGTTACCTTTATTCTTATTGTACTGGTTTTTACAATAAACCTTTACTTATTTTATCTGCCGTGTTTTTCAAGTATATATTCCTATTAGCATGGAATATAACAATAACTATCATAAAACAGTGTTCATTTGCTACCAATACACTTGTCAAGTGTTTGGTCTAACATCTACCATCCATATCTTTTCCTGATGCATAGCCAATGTCCTGGCCACTTTCACCTACAATGTTCAGCCTCATCTTTTTTTTTTTTTTTTTTTTTTTTAAATCAATTCAGCCCATGCAAGGTGATAATGCTACTAAGATGCAACAAGCTACTGGGAGTGAAAGAGAATGAAAAAGAAAAAGCTTTAGAAGGAATTGGAAATCCAATCCTAAACAGGAAACAAAGGATAAACCTCTATTCCTGTTCAAAAGACTGAGGAAGATTGTGAACTCTTCACATTCAATAATATCAAAAAATGGACAAAAAAGATAATAGCAGTCACTTCACATACTTTCAGCCCAACAGAACAGAACTGGTTTACCACTGATTGTGAAGCATTCACTATAAAATGGACTATATCTAAATTTGATTGCTTCCTCTGCAGCCAGTCACTGATATATCTGGGCCAACACGAATTTAACAATGTTAAATTATAACAACAAAATGAAGAAATCTCTTGCTATAAGTTTAATCTTTTAAAGGTGAATCAAATGTCCAGGCTGACATACTCACTCAAATATATGGTCACAAAAAGGACAAACTACAAGCTGATCCTGCTAGCAAAACATATAAACTACAAGGCTAAATATCTACATTCTATCTTGGTGCCTTAGCAAAATCAAAGGTGCATACTTACTCCCATGACACACATACCACAGAACAACCAGTGTCATAGACAACTGACATGTTCTTCACTTACCATGTCATTTTCAGTCATCCCTATTAAGATAATTATTGATCATTTCAACATCACCACTGAACAGGAATGCAATGATATGCTATCAAGAATCATCAGTGAGGCACAACTTTAAATAAGTGTAAAAAAAAAATATATCTTGTTTGATTTTTGATGTCTGAATTAAACATTTGAGTAACATCTACTTGTTCTCTCTTTTTGTAGTTAAATTAATAGAGAATAAAAACTCACAGTAGTTGATACTAATAAATTACACCAGTTCATTTATTGTGAATAAGTTTACTTTCATCTTTTACAGTTGGAAGATGAAAATAGAATGGGCTCCTTCTGTATATCGTTGTCTCCATGGTGTGTTTTGTGTCTACAAACCTTCAAGTATGAGTATGAAAAGCATGGTAGAAGCCATCCAGTATAATCTTGCCAAAGGTGGGTAAAATATTTTTGTTGCAAAATTTGTATTTATTTTGGTTTTTGTTCTTAACATTTTCTACATTTATCTGGATACTATCATCAAACTTGAATAGACTTATAATTTTGCTACCTATAATACAGGCACAAACATGACTCCACCTCTCACCTGTTGTCTTCTAAGTCATGTTGATTTACTATTTTTATGAAAGACCGAATCTCAAGTCCAGCTGTTCATCAAATGTAGATATATATTCATCACTAAAAATTGTTGAGAAATTAGTTTTTGTGTACTTCTTCAAACACATTTGGTTAATTACATCTCTTTAGCCAGTGTTCTTAATATTCTAAATCTTTTTTTGTTTACATTTGCAGTACGATCTTCTTCAAATGCTTTCTTGCTGATCAATCCATTTGTTTATTTCTTTTTTAATTTTTCTCAAATCGCTTTTTATAACATTTTCAATCCAGTTTTTTTTTCTATTTCTTAGCATACAAATGTTTTAAATTTCTTTTTTGTTTGTTCTCAGAGTCTTGTTTTAACGTTTTTGCAATTTCCAATACTGTGATCCCATTATTCAATAATTTTATAATATCATGTTTCTCTTTTAAGGTTATTTCTTATAATCCATGGTAATCTTTATATATCTGAAATTAAAAAAATGAATATATATGTTATATATATATGTTATATTTATTTTTAATATGATGGCCAACTCAAATTGCATAATAAAATCTCATATCAAATGAATATTTCTATCAAAGCATGTTATGGAATATGACAGTATTTTTAAAATTTTATTAACATCAGTTGGTTAATAGCAATTTTATTGTGAAAACATTGACTTACATAATAAAATCTGACATAGTGTATTAATGTAAATCAAAATATCTCCAAAAAGTATCTTCAATATGAAAGCAAAATTATTTTGAGATGTTGCCTTCAAGATTTGCTTCATATAGACAGGGATAATTTGATTATAAAATGTTTCCTCTTAACATGTTTTTGCATTGGCTTTTGAGGTACATTGATTAGACAAATGATACTAAGGATGGCATTTCTCTTTGTAATAACTTTTTTTAATATTCATTGAATGTTTTTAACTTCTCATCTTATTGTCTTTTTCTTAGTGTTTCATCCTTCCAAAATCTCCTATGTTGTCAAGCTTTAAAATTTTACTTGATTGTTTCCCCTTCTGTGTATATGATTTCTTCTCTAGGAAATTTTTGTAATACTTCCTTATTGATGCACAAGGAATCTGTGTTTTGAGGGGTCAATATTATACATCATCAACTATTGAGTTGAACTATCCACTGGTGTGGGATCTTATAACATTAGCTGTGGGAGTGGCTAATTCACCATCTCCTACAAACTTTTGTTGATTTGCTTTTGCATGTTTTGTACCAGTCATTTCTGTTTGACTGATCCTTAAACTCACAAAGTATCTGACAGAAATCAATCTTTTTTTTCAATTTCAGATTAATTAGGATCATGAATTAACATGATTTGGGATTATTTGGTGAATAAAAAATTTATTTAAGCCCCTATGGCAGAGTATATTTCCTACATATATGAACTACTATATTCTCAATTATCTGATACAAAGTCCCCTTCTACAGTTATGTATTTGATATATTTCATAGTTTCATTGATTTAATTTCTTTTTAATAAATTTGAATAAATTTAAATATAAATCAACACTATTTATAAATTAAATAATAAATTCAAATACTGAAAGGTGTAACCAACATTTTATGTAAATAGACCATAGTGATAAATATATATATATATATATATATATATATATATAGAGAGAGAGAGAGAGACTATGAAATGAATATATACATGCATTCTAACGTATTTCCTGCTCGTACCAGTGGTTGGTAGTAAAAATTAGAGTTATAAAAGCTGATTTTCAAGGCAAGTATGCTCTGTTTACTTAGAAAACTGTCACAACACAATCTTATGCTCAACAAAACCAGGTAAATATCTTTGTCTCTCTCTCTCTCGCTCGCACAAGGTTTCTATCATTTCTGCTATCATTTCTTATCTGGATTCCCACAAAGCATGTGGACCTGATGGTATCCCTACAATAGTACTGTACCAATGACAACTCTGCAAACTCCGTAGATGCCCGCAAATCATCTGTTAGTGTTCATGAAAGTTCTGCCAGCAAAAACAAGGAGACTCCACCTTCTGAGTCTAAAGGAACCAATATGCCCTGTGGAATTAATATTGAAGGTGAAGATCCCATTGAATCTGTGCAAAAATCTTCCAGAATACAAAAAATTCTCAATAAATACAGAGACTTTGTAACTGGTGGAGGACTAATAACATCCCCACTTCATAATATTTCTTGAAAATGTGTAAATTGTGACCACCTCTAGATTAGTTGTACCCCAGCAGATACTTTACTGTATCCTAAGGACACAAAGTTACATCCCCTTCCTGTTAAGAAACCACCATATTCATTTGAATGTAACATGTGTATTTGTCTGCTATTGAAACCTATACAAATGGTTATTAAGTCTTGTTATCTCCTTCTACTACATCTTCCTCTCACAACACAGGACCTTTCATACAAACAATATGACTTTCGCTTCTCTAGGTGAACTGCTGATATAATGACAATTATTGCTGAAAGAGTCTATCAAGAATGATGTTGCTTTTGAACATCTCAAAAGCATTCAACAGGGCTTGGCATACTGGTATTCTTCACAAGTTTAAAGCTTATGGTATTTCTGGACAAATTTTTGAACTGATTCAGTTTTATCAACTTGCAAAATGAAAGCTATCCTGAACAGCCACTCTTCTAAATTTTATTCTATTAATGCAGTTATCTCCCAGGGTTCTATCCTTGTACCTGCTTTATTCATAATTTTCATCATTGATCTTTCTTATAGTATCAGTTTTCAACTCTGTATCTATGCTGATGATACAACTATTTACTCCCGTCTCAATAATATATCTGATCGGTTTGATAAGGTCAAATTGGCAGCTGGCGTCAAAAATGACCTACAATCGGCTGTTAGCTGGGACAAAGAATGGCTTGTTAATTTTAGCAACTCCAAAATTAAATCTCTGTCTAGTAATCATCTGAGAGACCCCTTTCTACCTTCTATCAGCTTGGCTGATACTAACCACCAGGAGAGTGACTTGTTGCACCTCCTTGAACTAACATTCTCTGCTGACATGAAGTGGAAAAATTATATTGAATCAATTTCTATGTCTGCTGCTAAGAAAGTTGGTTCACTGTTTCATGCTAGACAATATTTCTTTCAAGAATCTATCTTACACATAAGTCTACCATTCCTCCTTGCTTTGAATATTGTTGCCATATATGGTCTGGTGCTCCCACCATATACTTAGAGATTCTTAATAAAATCCAAAGAATCTGCAATGTTATTGGTTCTGACCTCGCATCTTGTCTTTGGTCACTTTCCCATAGACATAATGTAGCTTTCCTGTGCTTTTTCTATAAATACTTTCATTGTAATTAGTCTAATGAACTTCCCATTATGGTACCTAGACTTTATGAATTTAAGTGCAGTACTAGATTGGCAACAAGGTCTCATCAATTTACACTTCAACTGGCTAGAAGCAACCATAAGCTTTAACAGTTTCTTCTCTAGCACTGCTTGCTTATAAACTCTCTTTCGGCTTCATGCTTTCCAAACAACTTTAATCTTCAAAAATTTAAATGCAATATCGATCATTATCTACTGTCTTGATTACTCTTCTTTTATTGTTCTCACACCTTAATGTTTCTTTTTCTCTTTCATACTCAATAACTCTTTCTGTCTGAGTAGCTTTACTCCTATGCTTTGTGTGAAATGATATACACACACATACATCCATCTAAAAATTTTAGAAAGTGAAAATTGTATAGATACACATACACACCTGCACATAAACTAGTAGAATAGCCAGTGTTGCCAAGACTAAAATATAGTGGATATAAATGGCCTATAAATGTATATTCAGTATGACAAAACATTATTGGACACCTTACTCTGGTGAGGAATGAAGTGTTTTCCCACTATCTTCAAAGCAGTCTAGTGTAGCTATGTTATTTACATGAGTAAATTATAAAATACTATTCATATTTAATGTCTTTCAAGTCCTGCATAAAATTGTCCATCAGGAAAAGCAGCATTCCTCAAGATGATACCCAGCACCTGTAAATTTTTGCACTTGGAAGGTTATGATGGACATGATATAGCTCCAATCTGGACCAATTTTAATGCTTATTTGGCAACCAAATTTAAATAAGTACATTTTTGTAAAGAGGGAATGTTCAAATTCTGCTGTAGGACTGAAAGAAGTACTGTTGCTTCTCAATCAAGACTTTGGGTAAATGTATTTGATGGCAAAAATGTCTTTGTTAATACCTACAAAATTATATAAGATTATGTGATATTGTTTGCTTTCATTTCAGATTTGAATGTCTTGCCTTGTTATACGCATGAAAGGAAACAAACAAAAATCATCCCAAGCACAAACACAACTGCTGCAGATATTGTACCTGTTGGACTAACTGACCTCTCTGATCACAGACTTGGTAAGCTTTTTCTGCAAGTGAATCATTCTTCATCATTTTGAAGATTATTTTGACAATGTAAGTTTTGGTAGACATAGCTGGACATTGTATCTTCTAATTAACCTCAGTATGTATCACATTCACTGCTTTCCATTTCCTCTTTTTGAATTACATTTTTCCATCAAACATATCCTGAGATATAGCTGTGTTTATTATTATGAAAGGTTAGTTCACCAATATGTAAATGTACACTTGTATATTTCTGTTTCTGATCACATTACCAAATTATTCATGTGCCAGATTTGTCCTTAAAATTGTATTTGCACTTAAAATTGTATTTGCACTCAATGTGAAAGTTGGTGTTTGACATGACACAAAATATTTTTCAAAATTATTACTAATTTTTGAGGAGACAAGTGTAAAAATTAAGTTTAAGTTCAAAATTAGAATGTTAAAATTTTATTCCAGTGTTCAGTGAAAGATTTAACGTTGTCAAAAACTTCTGTACCCTTATGAAAAACAAATGTGTAAATGTCATTTAATAAAATGTTTTTGAATTGAAACATTTAGTTCATTCTCAATAAATCAAAGAAAAATAAATCAGAATTATGAATAATATAAAAATAATCATTTTATAAAAGTAAAATGGAGATTAAATACAATAATATATTTAGGTTGTGGCCAGTGATGAAAATCAATTCCTTTTATTTCTCATATGGTTGTGCAAAAAAACAAAATCACCATAAAAAAAGACATTTCTTCATTTTAATCAACAGTAGTAAGATAAATGTTTCATTCATGAATCTTGTACCAGAACTTTCTTTCAATGGGTATGGTCTAAAATTTGCCGTTATTTTTATTACATTCGATATTGAAATCTTGACTAAAGTTTGTTTGTCACTGTAAAATTAATTAGCTCTTCTGTATTTTATACAACAGACTTAATTATTTTAAAAAGAAAGTAAACAACACAATTTTGTACTTTTGAAGTGACTGGCATTTACTTAAAACATTGTGTTTGCTTATTTATGTGGAAAAGACTATATTTCCATTTAGGTAAAGTAATACTGTGTCTCTCTTTATTTTTTCTTATTTCAAATTTACCTTTGAAATTTTATTAAAACAGGGTAATGTTTACACTTGTCCTCCTCACAAGAAGTTAATGTTAATTCTATACTTGTTTTTCTTTTTTTGTTGGTTTAATTTGAAATAGTTTATGTCTGGATTTTCAAAATTTAAATTAATTAAAAAATATTTAAAAGCTCAAGGAGAAAACAGATCAAAAAGCAGTTTCTCAGAACTATTGACAAAGATGTTGTCAAAAAATATCAAACATGTAACTGAAGTAGAGACATTAGACAAGCAGACTGAAAGATAGCAACAACAGGGTTCTACACATGTTGCCTCAACATTAGATATTCTTCCACCAATGTCTTCCAGTGAAGAAACAACCAATGACAGTTTTGAGCCAAGGAGACACTCTTCTCTAGATATGCCATGGAACTTATTAAGAGTGATGTATCTTCCAACCTTGGGGCATGGCTTGCTAATACCTTTTTATTAGACATACAAGATATGGGCTTTCTTCATCCAAGCCTTAGCTTAAAGGACATAATCATTGATAAATCGAAAATAGGCAAGGAAAAGGCTAGAGTAAAAAGTAATCAGCTATCAGAAGCGTGAAAATATAATCTTCTTTGGTGTTAATTGCAGATAAAGGACACTTTGTAATACAAAGATTACAGAGGAAAATGGCAAAAAAGAATTAAGAAAATCAAAGGACAAGAGTGCCACTTCATTTTCACCAGAGATGAACACATGGAAAGTAGATATCTCACACACAGAGTTATCCCTAACATTGGTGCAACTGAGGTTGTTCTAGCAGTGGATGTTGCTGCCGTTTTAGAAGAATTCAACAATTCATTAAGGCAGTTCTTGTGGGCAATACCAGTACAGACAGTGGTTGTGAAGCAGGGCTTGTTATAGCTCTGGAGAAAAAAACTTAAAAAACTTGTGAGGAACAAGAAGACTTACCTCCCGCAAAGTGAATTTACTTGTCGTGTCAGGTCCTGTTGAAAGATCACGAGCAGATGTGCAGGGGAAAAAAATTAATAATAAAAAAAGACTAAGAATTCAAACCAGCTTGAATTTATAAAACCAGAAGTCTTGGGCTAACAAGAAGTAAGTCTTGTATGCAAATTGTAGTTGCCCCCGATGTAAGCATAGAGAGTCTGGGAGGAAGATGACAGAGTGAATTATTGGTGTGACAGTGTACTAATGAGACTGAGATAAGAAGAGGTCACTAGTGACAGCTCAGTAGACCGGAGGACTGAACGAAAGCAAGCACTTTAATCCATTTCAGTCATCACAAACAACGGGCAAACTGAATTACCCACGAAAATGTTACACACCATTGTCTGTTCACTTCATCAAAATGAACTTCCACTTTTTTTACGTACATTAATGCTTTTACTGGTTCTCTAGGGCAACTTTGTGGAAATGATTACCAAGATTTGTCCCAGGAAGAATTTAACTCTATCAATGACCCTCTAACTTATATCTTACTGCAGGAGCAATGGAAGATTTAAGACTGCTTTTAGAACATGCAGCAGGAATTTCTCAAGGGAAAGTGAACTCTAGATTAGCTGCCTGGAAAATAGGGACTCTAAATCAAGCAAGATAGCTAAATTTATGATAGCTAGTTTGTTTATGGACCAGAGATGCCTATCCATCAGAACTCTATGATAAATTGTACAGCCTTAAAAAATTTATAATTGAAATATATGCAGTTGAAATTAAAATAATTTCAAACCAACTGTATATATTTCAATTAATAATTGATGAATTCCATAACCAACAACTGTATATCTTCAACATGATCAGAATAAATCAAGTCGACTGAAATACAGAATGTTGCATCAAAAAATTTAAAGCACAAAAATATAATTTTTTGTTTCAGAAGTAGTGAACCACTAGAGAAGAAAATTTAAAAAAAAAAAGATTACATTAAACTCTGAAGCGACAAACTGGTCAAATTTCATTAAGCCCTCATAAAAAGAAGTTTGTGAACCTGTACTTGCAGAAGATTTTCAAATAATGAAATAAGAGGTTTTAATGAATGGAACATTGGATTTGCTAAATTTGCCTGCACATTAGCAAGTTTTGGAAGAAGCAAATTAATTACTGAAGCTTCACAAATTGTATATGGAAAACAAGCACATTATTACTAAATGATTGTGTCATCAAATAAAACCTTCATTTACTTCAAAGGGAAATTATACTGAACAATTTAGCTATATTATGATGTAATACCGTGCAGTAGTTTCAATTAACAATTTAAATTTTAAAACATTTTAAAATTCAATTGGTGCCCAGTAGTATTATGGTGTTATATCCACTTTTATCTTTTGTTTTCATTATAGCCCAACAAATTGATCACCTTTTTTGTAATCATTTACAATTTTTAGTTTTTACTTATCAAATACAGTAAAAAATGTCATATTTTGCTTGTGGTGGTTCATAATTCGAATTCTGGTTTGAATATATTTTCCATTTAATGTATCTAATAAAAAAATATCAACTTGGATTTATTCTTGAAATACTAAAATTTTGTAATCAGTTTGTAAGCAATATCCTACAGAAATTAGGTATTTCTGTACATTTTTTCAGACTATCTTTAAACCTAAATACTCAAAAATTGGTAAAAGCTATGAATATAATTTTTGGTGTCATTACTTATCACATCAAACCCCAGCTTTTACACCGAGTGCAATATTGTTTTTCTAAAAGTGAAAAATCAACCTGTCCTAATGTGACATAGCATCCAGTTGATCTGATCAAAGAATGTAATTCTGCTTGCACTAAGTAACATCACATTGTATTCATTAAAGTATTTAATATACAATATCTATTAAAAACCTTAGCAATTGGGCTGCATTGTATAATCATAATATCAGTGGAAAGAATAAAATCTGTTTTTTTCTGGGGCAGTATTCTTTTTATATAATTTTATCATGTATGCCCTAAAATCCCATTTAACTTTATAGAAAATGTAACTTGTACCAAAAGTAATAATTGTACTTATAATTTGAAGGTATGAATTTATTTTCCTAGTTTGGGTATTATTTTTCCACTGCTTTGATGTTAATTTATTTAAAGTTTTTTTTCAGATGTCAATCCTTCTATCTAAGGAAGAATCTGTCATGAGAATACCTACTTTATTATGGGTGGGATAGTTGTATCTTTGCCAAGAATTGGATAATGATTTTAAATTCATCTTGATAATCTTTTCTTTGTTTTCTAGTTCTGGGTTCACGTTACATCCAGTCGGATTTTAACATAAACTTTTTATGTGGTCTTAGTCGGCAGTCGTCTGGTGTACAAGGTTAGTTAACTTTTCAGCTTCCATTGTTTGTAATTCCTTCAGAATTGAAACCTATTCTTTCTTTGATCTTCTGGCAGTGGATTCCAAGTTAAAATTAGTAGGAACTCTTGATAATTAAATTACTGTATAAAAGAATATAGTCATTCAAACATAAAATGTAATTTCATTGCTGTAGCCAGTATATATTTAGTCTTGATTAGGTGAATTTATTTAAAAGATCTTGTGCTCAAAGCAATATATATATATATATATATATATTTTCTGTTAATATGTTATTTTTATAGATACAAATATTTAAGTTAATGCTCTGTTTATAATAAACAATATTAACTACATTTACCAGCATGAATGTCTGAGAAATGTCATAGAAAATATGTGTCTTCCGACAGGAATCAAACCTGTATCCTACACGGAACCATCATATAGCCTGACATGCTATACCATTTAGCTACAGAGGAAGCGTTTGGTTAGCAAAGTCAAATTACTGTTTTTAAACAACAAATTTTCCATGATTTATTATAAACAGAGCATTTACTTAAATATTTGCATCTATAAAATTAATGTATAAACAGAAAACATATTAAAGTAATTGTCAGACTTAGTCCATAATTATATATATATATATATATATATATATATATATATATATATATATATATATATATATATATATATATATATATATATATGTGTGTGTGTGTGTGGGTATAAACAAAGTTTCCACATAACTTTATATGTATTTTTATTAAAAGTTGTGTGGGAACTTTGCTTCCAACACATACACATACACACACACACACACACACACAAAATTCTGAAAAGTTTTTGGCACAGCCCACTTCCCAAAATCAGTTATTTCAATGACTAAACATCAGAATTGTATTTTTCATTTCACCCCAAACAAGGCAATAAAGCTACTAAGATGCAAGGGGTTACTAAGTGTGAAAGAATATGAGAAAAAGAAAAATGTTATTAAGGAGAGAGAACAATAAAAGAAAAGCAATTAAGAAGGCAAAAGGTAATGATTGACATTGCATTAAAATTTTTAAAAATGAAAGTTGACTGGAAAGCAAGAGGCCAAAATGTGTTCCACAAGCAAGACGTGCAAGAAAAATTAATTAGCATAGAATTTACAGTTATTTCATTTGTAAAATGATGTAAAAACCTCTGTCAATCTAGTACTTAAATTTTTAAAGTTCAGGTACACAAGAGTAAAGCTCATTAGAACAATTACCATGAAAATATTTATAGAAAAGGCAGAGAAGCTACGTTACAATGATGGGAAAGTGACTGAAGCCAAGATGTCAGGTGAGGATTGATAACATTGCAGAATTTTTCTGATTTTAGAAAGAATATTGGAATGAGAACTTTTTGGTATTGTATATGGGTGTGCGTGTGTATTTAATGCTTTTTGAAAATTATATTTATAGTTCATTAAATATTTTTGTTTTTATAATAATCTTGTATGTTTTTAAACTTATTTTTGTTTTCTCTACTATCTGAGATAACTATAAAAACAACCAAACTGTTAAATGATATATACAGTAGTGGAGAAATACAAGAAGTAAATTTTTATAGTGTTGCCAAAGGAAGTACATGCAGATGAATGCATGGTTCACTGAACAATTAGCTTAACAGAATTAATAATAAGATTCTAATGAATAGAGCTCAGAGCAGAATCAGACTAGTAACGGGGGAAGAAGAATGTTTTGTGCAAGATACTGGAACAAGAAATACTATATTCATGGTCATATTGTTGTCAGAATGAACAATAGAAATGCAGAAAGATTCAAATGTCATTGATTATACAAAGGCATTCAATAAAATTAAACATGAAGAATTTCTTAAAATGCTGCTAAAGTTTCATCCACAAGTATATATTTCATAACCTGTATTAGCAACTAATGCTTTTCTAATAATAGACAACAAAATAGAAAGAGAAGCACAGATATATTTTTCACTGTACATCAAGTTGATTGTAAGAGAATTAGAGGACCTGCTAAGATTTATTATCAATGTACTCAATGACACTGTGTTGATACCAGATTCAGAACTAAAACTGAAAGAACTATTAAACAATTTAGTCAAGGGAAGCTTTCTAATCTTCCCTTGACTAACTTGGATTGATCATTAAATGTAAGATAGAATGCATGGTTGTACATGGTATGGTTGGTTAGTGATACCACTAATTAGTATATGTGTATGAGTAGATGTTATGCATAGGCTTGCTACATAAGGTAGTGGAATGGTATAGAACCAATACTAAATGCATATAACTGCTTGAAATATCATAACAATATGGCATTGCCGATATGAACTTTATTGCATGATTTTGCTACTGGCCATTTTTATTTTTGATGTTAAAAATGTCTTAATAGAGTAAGTGTCTATGTTCAGCTTTGAAACTAAGAGCAAGCTGTTGCCATTTATACCGTAGATACCCAAGATAAATAGCAGCCAAAGAAAATCTCTATCAAAATACTTTCATGCTTTAAAAAAATGCAAAGAATAAAATTAAACAAAAATCAAGCTATTCAAGTAAATATGGAAACAATTAATAAAATGAATTCTTTAATGGAAATAAATTAACAGTAAATAGTATTTGTTTTTACTATTTTTAATGTTACATTCATGGTGATGACAGCCTTCTCTCTAAAACTACACAGGGATAATGTCATATGAGTTAGACTAAGAAAGAAGACAGAACAATTGCTGCTCTGTGTTTTTATGTATGTACATGTATGGATCAAAGGAAAAGACAATATGCAGTAAGTTTATATGATAAAACTGCTTTAGACTAATAGAGAACATGAATTCATCTGCATTATCTAGTAGTGGTTGGTTAAGTGCTACCACTAATTAGCATATGTATAGATTCCCTACCTAAGATAGTGGCAATGGTACTTGGACTGTATAACCAATACTAACTGCATACAACTGCAATCTCTACTTGGAATATCATAACAATATGGCGTTGCCAATAGGATCTTTGTTACATGTATAGGACCCAGACTTTGTTGAAACTTGGATAAGGTGCTTTGCAGCACTTGCTAGAAAAATGAAACTAAGGGAGAACAAAATAAATGGAGGTGAAAACAAAATGACATTTATTTCTGACAACAGCTGGTTGTGAAGCCATTGGGATGATTTCCTTGATGACTTATCCAACAGAGGTGGAAGAATTGATATTTAACCAAATCAAAGAGATTAATCTAAGGAATATTTGACCAAGGAAAAGGTTTGTCAGTGCTGAACAAACCGTTCTTGTCATTAAAACAAAAATGTAAGGAACCCATTATGAAATTTCTGCACCAGCTATAAGACACCAGCAGATATTGTGAATTTCAAACTTTATGACAAATGTATATTGAAGAGAAATAAATTCAACTAGTATTGATAGAAGAAATACTTAGCATATGTAAATTGAAAAATGTTAAAATGGTTGAAATTAAACCAAATGTCATTAAATACATGTATTAAATTTATGTAACATGAAGAGTTGATTGAAAAATTAAATAAGAAAAAAAATGGACATTATAAAGAAACACTAAAATGCAAATATTGTAACTATGAGCACGAGCCAAACAGAGAAATGTCCAGCATAACAACAGATATGTAAAAATTGTAAAAAGAAAAATCATTTTCAATCAGTGTGTAAATTAAAAAAAATAAATTAAAATATAGAGTGCTGAAAAAAATGAAAGACACTTTAAAAAGTGAAACTGACATTTTCTCAATACAGAAGAATAGGAAAGAAAATACCTACATGGAAATTAAATTGAATGAGGTAAATTAAAAAATGCAAATTGCTACTTGTAATGTAATGCTAATTCTGAAGAACTTTTGGGAACAAATGGGTAAACCAAAACTATATAAAAGGCATTTAAAATTAAGAGATTTTGATGGGTTATGCATAAAGACATTGTGATACTTTGAAGGAACATTTGAAACAAATACTAGGATAGAAATTACTATTGTAGTTGTGATCTATAATAAAAGTCAAGGAACAGATGTTCTTAAGGTTAATAACATTTAATTCATGCTATGATAATCCTGAAAATGTAATTATAAAGCAAATATTGAAAGAAAATTGTAACCCTTCCAATTTGTTTATCATCCTTGGTAGTTATGTAACTACATAAAATGGTTGAACAAGGTATTTTGGAATATGTTCTCCTGGAGGGAAGTAAATGGGCATCACCTATTCTAGTTCTGAGAAAGCTAAATGGTAATTCTAGAATCTGCAGCGACTAAAGTAGGCATAAACCATGAGATTTGTTTGGATTATTATCCTATCCCAAACATTGAAAATATATTACATTCATTAAAAGGAATGAAATGCTTTATGAAAATTGATCTAAGAAGCATATACCATCAAATTCATAAATTTAAGGAAATCACCACTATTAACTCCCCCAATTGGTCTGCTTAGGTGGACTTGTATGCCTTATGAAGTGAAAACAGCAAATGCCATCTTTTAGAAAGCAATAGAAAACCTTTTAAAAATTGGTATAAAAAATATGATAATATATCAAGATTATATATGTTTGGTGCAACCAATGAAAAAGAGTTGACAAAAATCAATCTGGTATTAAATAGATTAAGGATATTGGGAATGACTGTTAACAAAGACTGTGAAAAAATATATCTTAATACCAAATTTCAGAAGATTTTGATATTGAATATGTAAAAGGAAATGCTATTTCTCATGTAGATGCATTATCCAGATTACATTTTAAAAGGGGACAAAAAAATAACATTAGAAAATATGAAAGATGAATTTTTGCACTGGGTAGACTGATATTCTACCAATAAATTTACTTACTTGAGAAACATTACAAGATTCAATATTAACTAAAATTGTACCTAGAATAAAAACTAGTAAATAGAATAATTGTTCAAACACTGAAAGGCCACACAAAGAAATTAGGCATAAGTTAACTGTAGACAATGGTACTGTATGTAATTAAAATTTAGTAGTACCATGTGAAGATGTAAAAAAGATGTAATAAAAAGTGTGTATGACGTCTAAACTAATAGTTTCTTCTATCACACTTCTTGCTAGTGAAATTTTCTTCTGGTTTCTTGCTTTCCAGTCAGCTTTGATCTCCAAAAATTTAAATGCAGTGTCAGTTGTAATCTTCTGTCTTTTTAATTTTTGTTCTTTTGTTGTCCTCTCTCTTTAGTAGACATTTTTTTCATATTATCTAACACTCAGTAACCCCTTGCTTGGAGTGAAATGAATTTAAAAAAAAAAAAAAGCTACACTGAAGAATTTGAAATTAGAAGCATCATGGCCTGGATATGCATGCAATCACATCCACAAATGTCCAAAATGCACTGAAATAAAAAAAAATTTACAATACTATTTACCATAGGAAAAATAGTACAATAACGCAATATTACGAGTAATCTTTGCTAGAAATGAAGTGTTGAAAACGTTAGTGACAGATAATGCCCCAAAATTTTGTGAGAACACTTGGTTAAGGAAAATTGGGATGTATCCCATATAAAAATCCCTGCCATATCATCTGAAATCAAATGAAATTGTAGAAAGAATGCTAAAATGGGATTCAGAGCATTTTCTCCTCAACAAGATTAGTTTGATAGTTTCTTAACAAATAGACAAAGAAGGGCACAAAGCCTATTCACTTCATGGTGATGTGGTTGGTTAGTGATACCACTAATTAGCATATGTGTATAAGCAGAGATTATGTATAGGCTCCCTATGTAAGGTAGTGACAATGGTTCTTGTACTGCAAAACCAATACTGAATGCATACAACTGCAATTTCTACTTGGAATATCATAACAGTATAATTTATATGTTGGGACATAAAAATGAAACAGGTAAAATTTCTAGGCAGTGTCATAAACCAATACAATTTTGTACAGATTTGGAAAGTAAATTCAAATGTACATGGAATTGAAAAACAACATTAGAAATGAAGAAAAAATGCTAGACAGTAATGTTACTTCTACCATTCTATATCTGGGCATTGAAAACTGGACAGTTTCTTTGCAAATGAAAAAGACTGAAGTGACAGATTGTTGAGACTATCATATGAGAAATTAAATTTTAAGGAAAATAGAACTAAAATAAATCTATAAATTTTTGGGACACATAATGAGGAAAAAATGCTTCCAAAATTTAATATGCGCAGGGTGCATCAAAGGTAAGAAAAGCAAAGAAAAACAGCAAGTAATATATTTGACAAGTTTGTGCAAATTTAAGGAGAAAGACATACTGCAAAGAGAAAGCAGAGTCACAAAGAAGAAAGTATTGTTGAGAACAGCAAAAGACAGGAAGTTGTGGAAAGCCATGTTCACATAGATTCTACATTTGGTTGAACATTGTGACTGAATAAACTGAATTTTTGTCCTCTTTTTAATTGAAAAGTATATTGATATTTTACTTTGGCAAATGCAAATAAAGAGGAAATTGTAGAGTCATTATCTTGGGATCCTCTTTAATAAAATTCTTCAGAATTTCAAATTCCCATCATTGTTTGGATTATTGTCTTTTTTGTATAAATTTATAAATCAATGAAAATGCTTTTTAATTTTTTTAGTTTTTTCCTGACAGCTTATGTTATTCAAATTGATTATCCTATCTTAAATACTGTTATACATTAAATTCTGTTTTTTCTCCTTTCCTCTTTCAGTTCTTGGAATCGGCCATGGAAAGAAGATTTTGAAGATTTTGGACAATTCTAGATTTTTACGAGTAAATATTATTTAAGTTTCTGCATTTGATGTTAAAATTCCAAGCAAGAAGCACATTATTGCACAAAAAAACAAAAGTAACATTTTTGTTTCTATTCTGGGATTCTAATTAGTATCTCCATGCTTCTTTTCTTTCTTATTTTTGTTTTAAATGAAAGTCATGTTGAACAGGCTCACTTTCAGATCTTTTCATCCAAATATTGGGATTCTCTAGAGCTCTATCCTGGGACATTCATCAATGATCTCCCCAATGTCATCAGTTCCCAACTAGGTATTTATGCAGATGATACAAGCAATTACTCCTTTCTCAGTAGCAAATCTGATAAAGTAAACCTGGCAACTGCTCTTGAAAAGGACTTCCAATCATTAAGTGGGGCAAGAAATAGCTTGTAAATTTTAACACCTCCAATACAAAAGTTGTGGGTAATTCAGTTTACCCATTGTTTGCACTGACTGAAATGGATCAAAGTGCTTGCTTTCTTCCCAGTTCTCCGCTCTACCAACTGAGCTGTCGCTATTGACCTCTTCCTTATTATTATTGTTAGTATGCACGTATGCCATCACACCAACAATGTATTTTGTTCTGTCCTGTCTTCCTCACAGACTCACTATTTATGCCCATGTCAGGGGGCAACTAAAATTTGCATACGAGACTTACTTCTCGTTCGCCTGAGACTTCCGATCTTATGAATTTACGCTGGCTTGAATTCTTAGTCTTATTTATTTTTATTTTTCACTGTACGCCTTTCTGCGATATAGGAGTTTTGGAATAATTCATTTTCGCTTTTAACGCCAGTCACAATCTTTCAACAAGACCTGACATGCCAAGCAAATTCGCTTTGCGGGAGGTAAGTCTTCTTGTTCCTTACAAAAATACTTTCATTTAACCACTGCAGAGAACCTTTTCTGCCTTCCATCAGCATGGCTGATGCTAAACTCCAGGAGTGCAACACTCTACACCTTCTTGGCATCATTTTTTCCACTGACATGAAGTGGAACAACTATATCAAGCTCCGTCAGCTGCAAGGAAAGTTGGTTCATTGTATCATGCTAAAAGTTTTTCTCATCAGAATCCATCTTGCACATTTATAAATCTGCCATTCATCCATGCATTGAATACTGTTGACATATCTGGTCTGGTGCTCTTGCTCTACATCTCGCAATTCTTAACAAAATCCAAAGAATGCAATGTAATTGATCCTGACCAGGCATCTCAACTTCAGTTATTTTCTCACCAAGATAATGTGGTTTCACCCTGTCTTTTCTACAAATATTTCCATGGCAACTGCTCTGACAAGTTTTTTTTCTGATGCCCTGACTACATGAATATAAGATTGGCAACTAGATTTACTGTTGAAATAGCTAAACCCAACTGCCTCTTTTTCTGTTGAATACCCGAAAAGTCTAATTTATCTAAGTCTAAATTTCTTTTGTCTTTTTCTCAAATTCATTGCTTCTTTCTTTCATCTATTGTTTTTTTATTTCATTCAAGTTTATGTTCATAAAAATTCAATAATTTTGAGGAGTCTGATAACCAATATTATTTTAAGTTGGGATAGTATTTAATAATGTTACAATATTTGAAAAAATGAAAGAAATAAAAGAAATTTGTTAAAAATCATGGCATAAACAGTGAAGAACATACCTGATGTTACTTAATCTCCTGTTTTATTGTAAGACGAGAAATAATTTTGGAATCTATTTTATTTTTCTTATATGGAATTCATATCCCAATAATTATGAAAATATTTACTGAAAAAATAATCAAAGTGGTTATAGATTTTAAACTTTAAGGCACAGCTATTATAATGAAGAATCAAATCAGAAATAAACAAGAAGCAACCACATCCGTTTTATTCATGGAAGCAAGAATGCAGGTATGAGTGGTGTGGCTGATTTGCATGCATTAACCAGCCACATATGCAAATAACTCAACTTGACATCAAGTAAGCAAGTCATTTTTACTTCAGTACTGTGTTATGTCTGTATTCAACACAAGTCACAAGCTACTTTGATGAAAAATGACAGACAGAAAATTTGATCTGGACTTTGATGGTTTAGCATCTGGTCTGTCGATAGACAAATATTCTAAAAAGTTGCTGTGCAGTCTGTGTGAGGTAAAACAGATTGAGAAGGTTCCTTCTCTGCACCTAATTGAAGAAGCATTTGTCACCTATAAGCAGTTGAATGCAGAGGCCAATTGTCACAGCTGGCACAACCAATGCCACTTACTGAAAATCCATGTGGTAAAATCATCTATAAATGCAATGGCCTAAATCATATAGCAAAAGATTGTTTTAGCCAATGTAGAGAATAGGGAACACACACATGTTTCTACTGATGCAACAGAGACAGCCACATCTCTTGAAATTGTTCAGGAACAAGAGGCAGGGGAAATGATTTTGGCACTAGCAAATTCTGAATAAAGTGCTATCTGTTATTGAAGTTCATGTTAACAAGACCTCATGCTTGGCCCTCTTTGGGCTGCTCCCACTCAATCACACAAAGCTGTTCCAGTAATGAACTAAGAAAATTGTCAAAGTGAGACAATATGCTATAGATTCAGAGTAGTTAAAGTTCATACCCATGCTTCAAACAAAAACTTGAACTCTTTTCTACTCAATAGTCTTATTCTGCTGATGGCTGTATTAGAGCAGAACAATGCTGAAGTGAACTTAATGATGGGTTGCAGGTATGTCAAAGCATCATAATAACTGGAAGACTGCATCCAGGTAATGGCCATCAATATCAAGAGAGAGCATGGCATCTTGACATGAAAATAGGAAAGTATGGTTCCAGTCATGCCAGACATGTTGGAATATTTTCTCTCTGCATGGGAAACTTATAGGGCACTTTTCAGTGTATGAATGGCTTTTCATGGCAATACAGAGAAAAAAAATTGCCTAAGCATATATCATGTATGGCATTTAAATGACTGACTATGTGCTTATATCAGCCAGTGGCATAAAAGAGTGAGGATTGTATGTTACTGAACACTACAAGTATTTGCAATAAAAATGCAAGAAAATGTTAAATTTACTTATCATTCTTTTAAGTGAATTTAACATATCAATATAAAAAAAACAAAAATCAAAAAAACAATGTTTATGGTGAACACTGTTAACAGCTCTAAGTTAACAAAGTTGGAAGTTTCACTGTTGACTGAGATTTTAAATAAAATTTTATGCATAAAATAACCAGAGTGCCATTGGTTTTGTTGTAAAATGGCAAATATTTAATTGAGAAAATTATTTCAGAAATTCTTTTCATTACCAAAGTAAGGATTTCTAAGCTAAAGTAACACATTTATAATAGTTTTAGATAAGGCATGGTGCTTTATTCTTTGAATAATATTTGTATATTTTTTTATATCTATATCTGAAAGTTGATAAGACTTTTGTTTATCTATGATGTTTGGCAGATGGCTTACATGAGGACTGCCACTAACATAGATGTATATCTTGCTAAAATGAAGACTGAAAGTGACTTACATTGTTTCATACTGCAAGAAAATGTTCAAAATTTTAAGGTTCAAAACTATTACCAATATATATTGTAACATAGACAAATCTGTCTATATTTCTGAGATGAGTTATTATGTACATTATTTACTATTGTCCTCATCTTTGTCGCCATATTTATTACAACGTTTCAGCCATTGTACACTCAGGTGGTTGGAATGTTGAACTTAACCCTTTACTTTGCTCACTGGGGTAGACTGTTCTAGTTCCACGTGCCATGTTTAATGGATGTCAGTTATCTCTTGTTAATTTCCCTCTGAAAGTTCTCCACTGCCTTAAGCGGGTATTGAACTCACACTCTTTGGGTCCTGTCACTGGATCTAACCAACACCTTTATCCACTGTGCCATGTGTCCTCAAGGACATATAGCACAGTGGATAAAAAGTTTGAGTTCAATACCACAGTGGATAAAAAGTGTGAGTTCAATTTTAATATCATAATTTACTAATATCATCAGGATATTTAAAATCAGTCAATACAAACATATTGTATTATTTTTATCTTTCAATATATTTATTAAATTTTTCTTTTTTTCTACAAAAACATATTTTTGTAAAAAAACAATTTGTTATTTGTAAATCCTAACTATACAAGGTCTGATCAAATAATATTGCGACTGATGCTATAAAAAGTAAACAACAACACATATCAATTTGGCATTTAATCTCCTTCAAAGTATTCCATTTCTGAAGCTACACTTTATCCAGCATTGCTGCAACTCCTTTTTTGGTTAATGAGCTGCTGCTTTGTTGCATTCCCTTTGATTTCCTCAACATCTTGAAATCTTGTTTCTTTCAAGTGAAATTTGATTTTTGGAAAGAGAAAAAAGTTGCAAGGGGTGGGATCTGGGGAATAATATGGTTGTCGGACCTGGGAAATGTGTTTGTCCAAAAACTGCTGCACAAACTGCTCTGAATGGGGCAGGTGAGTTGTCATGATGGAGTTGCCACTTACCAGACACATGCAATTTTGTCCTTTTCCAACAATCAGCAACCCACAAATACCACAACATGTTACAGTAGTACTCGTTGTCTACTGTCTGACCAGGTGGAGCATACTCATGATGAACAATGCCCTTATGGTCAAAGAAAACTGTCAACAGTGTCTTCACATTGCTTCAACTCAATTGTGCTTTTTTCGGTCTCAGGAAAGTTAGGGTCTTCAACTGTGAAAACTGAGTTTGGTTTTGGGGGTCATAGCCATAGACCCACAATTTGTCACCTGTTACAACCATTTTCAAAAAGTTTTTGTCTTCCTCAAAACAAGGAGATCCTGCAGATTTGAAACCCAATTTTCTTTTTGGTCAGCTGAAAGCAGTTTTGGCATAATCTTGGCAGACACATGTTTTGTGCCCAAATCTTCAGGGAGAATTAACAGAACTGAACCATAACTAATATTCACATCCTCCAACAACTTATGCTCGGTGATTAGACGGTCTTTCCAAACAGTTGCATACTCATCTGTGATGTTTCCCTCATTTCTGCTGGTTGCGGGTCTTCCAGAACATGTGTCACTATTGGAAAAAGCTTGCAGAATTCATACACTTGTCCCACTCATACACCCCTCTCCATACACTTTCTGCAACTTTGTGTAGGTCTCTGTGCAAGTATCATCAAATTTTTGGCAAAATTTGATGCTGATTCCTCTGTTCAATTTTCTCTGCCACAGTCACTGATTGAATCTCTGGTGTGGTGAGAAGAGTACACACTTTCCTTCCAAACACTGCTATAAAGAATGGAAATGAGTGAGAATTTTATAATTTTGTATGCGTGCATGACAGAGTTCAAAGTCAATCTGTGCCAAGTGACCTCACTCTGTATACTTTAGGTCTGTTACCATAGCAACAGTCTCAATACATTTTTGTCAGACCTTGTAAACATTATTTTCAACATCAATTCTGTGAATTTAACTTAATAACCCTGTTGAAATTAAATTCTGAACTTTTTTTTCTTGTCTAAATTTGAGCCATTAACATTTTAAATTTCATTTTGAATATCTTTGTGTTGTTGATGTTGTGGCTACAAAATTCCAGCCAATCCATTCTACAGCCTTCCTCAGGGGAATAATCTATAAGAAAAAGGTTATGAAAAGAGACCTTTTTTCTTTGCTAGTTATTCACCTCAGAAGGTTGTAGAATATCCATCTTAAATGCATCGGCAATACACGTCCATTTGTCCAAATGAATTCTTATTTTTAAGAAAATTGTTTATCTATTTCTACATTTCTTTCAAGTAAAAATATTTATAACTGCAATGCCCTTTTATCTTGACTCCTTATGTTTGTAGAGACTACCTTAATGTGTAGTGTGCTATAAAATCTCTAGCAAACTGTGGTTAAGAACATCACTGTTTGAATCCCATAATTGAATAAAACATAAATTCTTCATTAATTTCTCCAAATGTTAGAAATTACAAAAATTTTAAATTCTTTTGCAATCAATTTCAGGTTTATCATTTAAAAGGAAAATTTGGAATGGCAACTGACAATTTCTCTTGTCATGGTCGACTTTTACAAAGATCTACTTACCGTAAGTTTTCCATTATTGGAGTATAATTGCTACAGCCAATGTGGCAACTTTTTTCTCCTTAATTCAAAACAAATACAAAATGGTCGAATCTTCACATGGAAATTAATTTGTCTTAAAATTTTGAAAAATATAATTTGTTTTTATAAAGATTATAAATTTGGTAATAAACCAATATCTCAAAGTGTAAATCACATTTTGCTTTTCTGTATAGGTAAAATATACAAATAACTATCTTCTGTGTCTTCTGAGATGTTTCATTATAATTCCAAAAGTTGTTCAAACAGTTTGTCTCCTCCCCGCCTTCAATATGGGTTGTACACTGGAAGGAGGCCATAAAATTGGCAGAAACATAATGGTAAAAACGAAAAAAATGAAATCAGTACTCATTCAAAGAGTCCCCTAGGTGTACTATGGACAAAGCAGGTTTTTTTCTCACTCTCTCTCCTGAAAAAGGCTGCAGAATGTGTCAATTGAAATATTATTATTGCTTCTAAACTTGGGTTTGAAATTTTATTTAGTTTTCAACAATTTTTGTCCATTGTGATAAAATTGATTGTTGATTGTAAAGGAATATATTTGAGAAAAAGAGAAAACATAAAAATTTATAAGTAAAAGAATTAGATTGTATTGCTTTTACCTGTAGAATGGAGTGGGAGGTGTATATAATATGGAATTAATGTTACCCACAACTTTCTCTTATAGATGTACAGGTAAAACAGTATTTGTTCTCCTATCCATAATTCTATTACATATGTATACTTTATTTGACAGCATTTTATAAACTATAAAAGTATTCTTAAAGCCAACTATTCATTTCTTCTTTTGTTACTTGTGTGTATATAACAAACATTATTTAAAAAAAAAAAAAATCACATAAATAAAAAGTGTATTGTTTATAACAATGTGAAGCCAAAAAGGACCTGGTGGGATTTGAATGGCATTGTGTATTACAAGTTACTTCTGCAAAATCAGATATTGAATTCAGTCAAGCCTATAGAAACCATATATTTGGTCAAAACAAAAGTTTGAAGCATTTTTAAAAAGAATTTCAAAGACAATATTTAGGTATTTGTACATAGATTTATTCAACCACATATATGCCTTTTTGTTTCGCTACCTTTCACTATCTTTAAGGTAGCTTCATTATTCCATCCACTCAGTATTATGGCATCTTTCTGGCTGATGAACTGGTCTAAGTGATTTTTACAGTTTTCCAGAGAATTGAAGTTTTTTCCCATTAAGAGAATTATGTAGGGATCAAAATAATTGGTAATCCAATGCAAGGGTAGGTGAGTATAATAGGATATCCCAACCAACCTGTAACAATTTTTGTAAGGTCGCCAAGGAAATTTAAGAAATGTAGCATATTCCTGATTGAAAATGACACCCTTCTGGTTAACTCATTCCAGATACTTTTCATTGCTGCCTTTAATTAGTACACTTATCTGAATTCAACATATGGTTTTATAGGAACTTGTAATAATGCCCTTTCAACCTCACCAGATACATAGAATCACTTCAAAAGTCTATCTGCATCTTTGGATGCAGATAGACTTTTGAAGTGATTAACAGTGGCTCATTTTCCTCAGAACTTTTTTGGCTCTATTTATTTCAATGCCTGTGACTGTTCTTTCAAAAATCAGTCAATTTTGTTACATTTGAGCAGAGACTTATGGATAGAAATGCAGCTCATGAAAGTTTTTTTTCTGTTAAATCGGGAGGCACCCAAACATTATAGTAATTCATGGATCTACCAGAATGTTCTTGGTTTCCAGATCAAAATTCCTATTTCTGAACTAAGCAAACCACTTAAGAACATTAGTGTCAGTTACGGCAACATCTCCATAAATGGGACATTATTTTTTTGCTGTTTCTACAGTCTTTTTTTTTTCCTTTCTGGAAATAAAACAATATCAAATAACAAATTTTCCTCCATTTTCATTTTTAATGCCAAAACATTAAAAATTCATACCCCACACAAATCATATAGAAAAATGAATTGAAATATTTTTTGGATCATTTTGCCCCAAGCAAGGCATTAAAGTCACTAAGGTGCAAGTGATTACTGAGTGTGACAGAATATAAGAAAAAGGAAAATGTTATTAAGGATAAAACAATAAAAACAATAAAAGAAAAAGATGACAGAAGATAACGATTGACATTGCATTTAAATTGGAAGATCCAAATTGATTGAAAAGCAAGAGTCTGGAAGAAAGTTACACAAGTGTGAGAAAAGAATGTGTTAGCATAGAACTTAGTTACATCTAGCCATTTCAACTGTAAAATGATGTAAAAACCTAACTGCCAATTTAGTACTGTGCTTCAATTCACAAAGTCATTGTATCAAATAGGAAAGCTCATCAGAACAATTACCATGAAAATATTTATAGAAAAAGCACAATATGACTGTGGGAAAGTTACTGAAACTGAGATGCCATTGTATTTCAAGTAGAACTCATATATACAATTCATTGCTATGGATACAGGTAAATTGGTCAGCTCTCTGTACTACTCCAGTAAATACCTGACCCCTCCTGCTATCCTCTACCTTTACAAGGGCCAGATCAGGCCAAAAATGGACTACTGTTGTCATATTTGGGCAGGAGCTGCCCAGACCTCACACTCCAGCATTGATAGAGTTCAAAAGTGTCTCTGAGCCCTTGTAGTTGACAAATTATTCTCCACCCTTTAACCTCTTTCCCATAGGAAAGACAAACCTCTCGCTGCTCTGCCACTGCTTCAATAGAAAGTGCTCAGACAAACTATATTCCATGGTCCAACTGAGGCAAACTTCCTCAGTAAGAACATGCCATGCCACTTACATTGTAGCAAACCAGCCACATTGCCTCTGTATTCCATTGGTGAGAAGTAGGTTGACGCAAAGAAGTCTGTGATGGCTTTGCGCAAGTCTGCTTCATTGGTGAAGGATTTCCCATGAGGATGATTATCCAGGGAGTGGAAGAGGTGGTAATTGGATGGTGCAAGGTCAGGTGAATAAGGTAGATGGCACAAAGTCTCCCACCCAAGTTGCTGTATGGTATACCTGACCACTTGCACCACATGCAGCCTGGCATTGTCATGGAGGAAAAGCATACCTTTGCGATTCACCAGTGCTGGCTCCTTCTGGCGCAATGCCTGTTGCACACATTTCAATTGCTGTGAGTATAGGTCTCCAGTGACCGTTTGGCCCATTGGTAGCAGTTCATAATGAACCACTTGACGACCTGTCCACCAGACACAAAGCATATTCTTGCATAGGCGGTCTTGCAGTGTGAGGGACAACATCCTGAGGAGACAACCAATGTCTGGAATGCTTGGGAGTTTCGTACAGAACCCACTTTTCATCACTGTTAAGCACTCGATTGAATAAGGATGCGGTACGGTGGCGAGAAAGCAGTGATACACAGGCTGCCACTCGTTGTCCCTTGTGGACCTCCAACAGTGTTTGTGGAACCCACTTGCTCAGTTTGTACATCTTACCTAGGTGGTGCAGGTGAAGTCTAACTGTTTCATCGGAAATGTTGAACTGTCTTGCAAGTTCACCACACGTTAGATTACTGTCCTCTTCAATGGCCGCCTTCAGGACTCCATCATTGAAGACCTGTGGTCGTTCACTGCGAGGCTCATGGAGTGACAAATCTCCCGACTTGAATTTTCAAAACCAACGCCTTGCAGTACGTTCATCCACGGCACTATCCCCAAACGCTTGACATATGCAGTGACTTGATGCAGCTGCTGATAAGCCCACTTTGAAGTTGTAAAGCAAACATCCCTGAACGAGATCTCTAGACACTTCCATCCTTCTCACAGCTGTCCAGCTTATAACTGATGGCCGGGCACGGTGTGCATGTTTTTTATAACATCTGAATTTGAAAACAATTGCTACACGCATTTCGTATATATTTCAACTTCATTCAATGAATAATCAAAAAACGGACAGAATTTTTTTGGTTACCTTGTAATTAGTATACTCTTTTTAATTTTAGAAGAGCCACCTTTAGGTCCTGTGAAGCTACAAGAGGCTATTATCATGAAGCCTGGCTCAATTTTACTACTTAAGAAATTCACACCTCTGCAAACTGTAGGAAAATAAAATCTCTTGGATGGAGATATGATTCTAAACTTAGCCTTTGAAATTGTTTTATTAGGATTTCAGGTTGAATGTTTGAATGCTGATGTTACTTTTGTATAAATATTCGATTTTTTTGTATTTTAAACTTGCCTATAAATAATGAAAGTAATTCTCTATTTATAAGGTTTATTAAAAGATCACTTTTTATTTTAGGAAGAAAAACAAAGTAATCCAACTTTCAAAACAATATTGTATTCTTTGCTATTTTGAAAATGTCTTAAAGTCCAAAGATATTGCTCTGAACATTTTTTTAACAGAGATAATTCATTGCCTACAGTACTTTCTAAAATTGCAAAAATTAAAATTATTGAAAATTCTTACAAGAAAATGTTTGTGTATTTTAGAAATAATGAAAATAATTGAATTGAAAATTTTATACAGAGTTGTTGATGACCTTGGATGAATTTACAAAGATTTCTGTGGATTTGATATATATATATATATATATATAATTTTTATGCAGATCATATAACAAAGGCAAAACTGGACAAGGCTTGCTCAGCTGTACAGGGTCAACACCAGAAAAATCTATTTATGTAAGTTTGTATAATTTCATTTGTGTGTATGTATAATTTATATATTGTTAATGGATCAAAGTTTAAAATAAACATAGGTTCACATGGGAATTGTGTAGAATTTAGTATCACATGAATAAAATAAATGATGAGCAGATCATGATAAGTTGGTCAGCAATGATGGGTACATTCATAATTATTGCCATTATCGGCAGTATAGAAAATTAGAAGTAGGAGGGAATTAATTTGTGGTAATCAAATGAGTATGCAGCAACTCGAGGGAAATGCCGAGCAGTGTTCTTTACCCATACAGAACCAACAAGGAAATTGCAGAAAAGCTGACAGAAGAAGCTAAAGTGGAACCAACATGTACGACGGAAAAACCTCCTGTAGCAGAGAGAAAAACATTGACCAAGAAAAACAAGCCATAATAACCACACACATACACCCACAAGTACACACATGCTTTAAATTGCATGAAAAAGAAAATGAAAAGAATATTACATTGCATGGAAAACAGAAGAAGATGGAAAGAACTTTAAATTGCATGAAAAAGAAATGAAAAGAACATTGCATTGCATCTAGCAGAGAAAAAAAAATGACGGATCACAAAAGAAACCATGAAAAGGAAAAGAAGAATAGAATTGTATGGAACAGATGCATGATAAATAGTGTATTGGGATTTAGGTGTCATTTACTAGTAAATGACAAAATAGGTTGGGGAGGATTGTGACACTATTTAGCTATGGTAATTGGCTAACTAATTAACCATAGAAATTAAAACAGGAAATAGTTAAGGCGAGAAAGAGCTATATTGAAAGATAGACTGAGCGACATTAAAAAGAAGAATTTATTTTATTTACAAAAGAAAGATACTTTTCGCAAAAGACAGAAAATCCGTAAGAAAAAGCAAGACTGTGATTCTGTCAAAAATTAATTAATGTCACGATAAGGGAGTGACGCGACAATGTAAACAGAATTCAGATAGAAAAACAAAACCAATTTGGCTTGGAACCATCCTGGAGAATAGCTATTAGTTATCTTTCAGAGATATCATTTAATTTTGGTTCTTGGGTCCAGCGAAGAGACCCATCTGGTATATGTATTAATCTTTACATGAAAAAGAGAGTCGAAAAGGGGATCATTATTATTGCTTATTCAAACTGTTGATGTCAGACATAGCGTCTTGAAATTGAGCATCTGGTGATAAGAGAATTTTAAGGCATGAGAAAAATAAAAGAATTTAATTATCAGGTAAACACGACCACCCAGTTAAAAGTTGACTAAGTGTATCTGAGTGTCCCCAAAATCAAGATGTGATAAGAATTATTCAGCACTCTGGGATTTGTAAATGTTTTGGCCGAAGGAAAAGAAAAAAAAATGTATTTTGTAAACAAAATTCTTTATGATAATTCTCAGAGGTCCGGTCTAGCCACACCCACCCTGCCGAGAAATCATTGGCCAACTGGTAGCATGGGTGATAGGCGGAGGTGAATGTATGAGAAAGACAGAGAAGTTAACACCCACTGAGGGGATTGGTATGAGATACCAATGTGAGAGAGGAAGAGTCTAGGAGGATAACTCTCTTCCGACCTTCCCTCATGAAACCCCCGAAATGGAAAGTGATTAATCTTCCAAAAATGGGAAGTAATTCCTGGCTTAAGAACAAAGAGAATTCTTGTTGGGAATTGAGAATTGTCAAAGAACCCAAACCACGTCAGGCCCCCACACCGAGTTTGGGTCGGTGTTCATATAGATGACACGTCTCGAAGCAGCTAGGCAGAGTTTCAGAGAGTTCTCAGTTCCAGACAGTTCAAGTTTGAAGTTGGTTCGAGAAGTTAGAGATCAGCCTTGCAGAAGCTGACCGAAAGATTTCTACATCCTTTTCGACTTAGTCTTCCTACCAAAAGCAAGTTTTTATTGAGAAATGACTTAAGATACCATAACTCGTTTAAGAAACGCAAAAAGTGTCACGAATCCATAGAAATGGGCTGGGAGAGAAACACTCCTGTATTCAACAAAGATAAAGATAATTGTTATTTCTCAACATATTTGAACCTCGTGAGTTTGTTTTATTATATTTTTTTTAACTTATGCTTGTGCGGTATCACCTTTACCCCAGATTCAGCTTGCACTACAGCCCAACACCTGATTGATTTCGTCTACCTAAGATCAAAGTCACAATGTGGGTAGGTTAGACTTGAGATCAAAGCAGTTACTTCAGTGACCAATCATTGGAGGCGAGCTGAGAACGACAAAGCTGGTATCAAATCGGAAATGACCAGATTGACCAGGACACAGGCTGGTGGCAGCGACAAGGAGTCAACCCCAAAATGCTGGTGGAAGAACCTTACAACCTTTCTACAATAAGATCATTTTTAACTACATGACACTAAAATATACTTTCACACATACACACGTGACACGTCTCTAGACAAACAGATTTAGAGATAATCCATATGCATGTAGGTATATGAATTTAGACAGGAATAAAGCATGCCTGCATATATATATATATATATAGGGGAATAAATTTTCCACAATCATGGAATCAGACAGAATTGCTAATCGTAGACGGAATTTGGGTTTTTAATGTAATTTTCAATAATAAATAACAAATTAATTATTTGATTTATTTTTTTCAGATTTTTTTAAATTCTTTCAAAACTTAATAACTTTCTCTTTGATTTTGTTAAACATTTTAATAAATATAACAGTTATTTCCTTAAAATTTGTTTTTACAAATATTTGTTATTTTCCTTATAAAACCCAAAAAATAATTAGAAAATAATGTTTACATAAAAAAAGATAAGTGGGTTGTCGGTTTTTCTGAGAATATGTTGGCTATTTTTAAATATTTTAAAACTTTTCTAAGAAACTGTACGTTTCAAACAAGATGAAAGTCGGAAGGTCACAGCTCGGTCATTGGAGGTGAGAGAGAGAGAGACAAAGATCAAACCAATAAGTTTAACTAATTAATTTCCTTTAAGGCCTCATGCAATTTACAAATAAAAGATTCTAAATATGTTGTAACTTTGTTTTATGAATATAAAAGAAAAGTAAATGTTATCACATCCCTACCATACAATTTAGAAATAAAGAAAAAAAAATTCTCCATAAACACCATTCTATGAAACAACTGGTTTGTCTAAGCTTACCATCACAGATTAATAATTGCATCATCTTCAGTGCTTCACCATTGTAAACAAATTTAAATTGAACAAAAAAATCCTTTAATAACATTAATTGTCAATGATTATTTGTTCATATTTTATTTATATTTTGTAATCTAAACCAGTTGTATGAAAAACAACAAATTGCCAAGATGAATGAATCAAATCAATATAGTGAATGAACCTCAAAAGTTGGGCCTGCTCCTCTAAAAAAAAAAAGAAAATGACCCCAGTATCTAAAATGTGTGTTAAAGCCAGTGTTGAGCAATTTCTTGATGACTTTTATGCAGAAGAAAATGTTATTTTGCAAATTGTCTCCATAGTGTAGACATTTTTATGGTCAACACAAACAAAGATTACATCAAATCAAAAACTCATTTGACAAAAAAGTCGGTTCAACTAAAACAGAAAATAATCACAACTTTGTTGAAGAGTAAAGAGATACAAGATGATTTGTCCTCGATTTTTTAAAAATGTGCACTTTGTCTGACATTCCCCTACACAAAATTGACAATATGAGGCCATTTGTATAAAAACATTGTAAAAAAGGTGGTGCTATTTCATGTCAGTTGTGTTAAGTAACTTCAAACTTATTTGCTGCCCTGAAAGCCAAACTTATTAATCAATCAGTCAGCATCATAACAGATGTTGTTTGGAGCCATCAAGGACTTGCAATGTCCTTCTACTGATCTTCCTGAAGAATTCCAAATGTATGGTAATTACATCTGCATGATCTTGCAGTTGCTTTAAGCAAATACTGTGGGCCTTTGATGAAAAGTGCTCACTCATTTTTTTCCAGATAGATGCTTGTTGGATTGCTTTATCTCTTCCTGATGCAACAATATTGTACATTCTCCATTCTAATGAGACATGACATCCATTCACGTTTATAGAATCAAATTTTGTGCAGTAATTACATCCTAGTTTCTTTTTACAAACTATTAAGCCATCATATTTTTTCTGGAAATTTTCATATTGTTCATTACTTAAGCAGCCTGGAAGTAAACTTGTTGCCTTATATCCACCTTGTAGTGTCAGTATCTACATTGTTTCCATGAACATTATAACCAGAAGCAGAACCAGACATTTTTTTCTGTTCAATCTGGTTCTATTTCACCGTCTCATACCTTGAAGTTCAATTCTAGGATTATTTTGCACAAACCCCAATAAACTTTGTTGTCTCTTCCTTTTAATGCTGAATGATGAAATGAAGAAAAATAATTTTTAGAATTTTATTGTGACACAAATTGTAACAAACATGTATATTATTTATAGATTTAGTTATACTTAAGTATTATTATTTAAAAATTAGAATCCTGGAAAATGTTATTTTTTTTTCAATTTAATTTAGATCAAGATCTAGTTAATCTAAACATATTAGTAAGTCATTTTCCATAGGCATATTAATTAGATCTAAACAATTTTTCTACTAGATCTAAATCTAACCCTAAGTGACTAAGTCTTATAGGAAAGGCACATTTAAACCTCTACAAAACTACAAAATCAACCACCATTTCAATTAAAATACAGATCTCAAAAGGCCAAATTTTTTTTTATAAACATAACTTACATAGCTTAGTAGATCTCTACATTTTTAATTTAATCAAACAGCAAACACAGCACTTGACAGCTGTAGCCTCTAGGCATTATAGATATCTAAAACAGCCATAGATCATCTAGATCTAGGACTAAAATAGAGAAAAGCTTGCAGATCTAAAAAAAGAAAGCTAACTATAAAGTTCATCTACCAGCTTGTAATTTAGTTTAGCAGAATGTAATAAATATATATGCGAATAACATGGTTTTAGGCTATATTAGCATATTATGTAATTACGCATGTTTAGTTAGGTAGATTGTGGTTCATTTACATGTTATGTAGTGAACATTTTGTTTTTGTTATTATTAGTTACTTTGTTTAAATAAATTCATTTCATTTTTTGCCTTGAGAAAGTCCACATTGGACGAAACGCGTCGGCAACTACTACAGTTTTCCTATTGTCATTTATATTCATAAATATGTAGTGTGCACTATGTTGTATTATAGGCTATATAGCTGTGTTTAAAAATGCAAATTCATGTAATTTTAACAACTGGTTCACCAAACTTGCAGAATTTTAATCACTAGATTGTGTGAACCAGTGCAAACCAGCTGAATCCCACTATTGGCCCTATATATATATATATATATATATATATATATATATATATATAAGGACAAAAGAAAAACATTTCTTTACAGACGTGTTTCATTCTATGAGGGACTTTATCAAGGTAAATGTAGAGATTTTTCAACTTACTTTTTGTTTATAAATACAAGTTACAAAATAAAATCTTTTCATTTACCTTGATAAAGCCCCTCATTACATTGGTAAAGAAAGGTTTTCCTTTACTCTATAATTATATCATTACAGATATATTTTATTTATATCTTAATTTTTACATAAATTTGAAGAAGTCACTGCTACCAACAAATAAACATGAGAAAAAGTGAAGATCCCTCCTTTTTCTTGTCTCATTAATAATTGTCAACATTCAACACTCAATGCCATTATGCTTGATAAATGTGTTTCTCAGATTAGATGATAGGAGTGGTTGCTTTGATCTCAGGTTTATGCTTGTAAAATTTTACAGCAGTTTAAGCACTTCATAAAGTGTGGTTCCAGAGTAAACTTTTTCCAGTTTAAATAGTAAGTGTCATGACCGGTTCTAGTTTAGCCTTATATATTCAGCCTCTCTTTTTGGCTGAGGGAATTGCATTCAGACAGCCAAAAGACACACAGTGAAGTTGTGAAACCTGCTACATTTTTCTACCATATTACTGATCATGAGTCCACTTGACTAACAGTTTACAGCTGCATCATGTTGAAACACCACTTCCCATATGATCACAAAGTTAAGCAACATTGAGCCTGGTCAGTACTTAGATAGGTGACTGCTTGGGAATATCAAGTGCTGTAAGATGGATGTATGGGTGATGTAATGGATAATGGCTTGAAATTGTTAAATGGAGAGCCAAGTTCCAATTCCTGTTGCACTTATGCATAAATACCATTGGGTAAAGGTATGAATTCACCACTTCTCCTCTCAGCTATGTGTTAATTAGTAAGACTTGTGTCGCTAAACCATTATTAACTCATAAAAAGTTCTTACGATCTAAAAATATTTTCTGGTTTTAAATAACCTGCTTTTAAGCTGCAGAAAATACTAATACTAAATAATAATAAACTTAGCTAACATAGATAGCAAAGTTGAGATAAGTTGTGCCATCTAAGTGGTAAAACACACCTGCTAAAAACCATCTAAAAAGCAATCCTAAATAAAGACTTAATGCAACCAAGTGTGCCATTTCATGTCATTTTTCTTTTTGTCATGAATTGCTGATTTTCCTTTTTAAAGTTGAGTTTATCATTTGCTATATGCAGCTTTAATAAATACCAACAGTCATCTTTTAAAAGAAACCAAACAGTTAACCGATAAGAGACTGAGCACTAGATGTTACCAGAGTGTACACTGAAAGCATGTATCAAATATTTAACCATTATTTTTTATGCATATTAAATATTTTATCTACATTTTAAGATTGATTCTTTTGTATACATTTTTTTTTTTTTTTAGAAAAAAAAAGTTATCCCTCTACCCCAAATGTTATTTTGTGAATATCCATGTTTGAGTAAATGCCCTGTTTTTATAAAAAGTGTAAATTATGCCTATCAGTCTGCACATTCCAGAGATTTAATAAAGAAAATATGTTCTGGTATTTTCTTTCTTATATCTTTTGAAGCCAGTAGGCATAATTTATGCTTTTTTGTGAAAATGCAATATTTGAAAAAAAATTATAAAACTGACATATCACAAAAAAAACTCATTGATAATGAATTATGAAAGTTAAAAATACTCAGGCATTGGACAATTTATATTTAAACTTTCATCAGAAACCAGGAATAGGAAAAACATTTAGAAATAATGACAATCTTTAACTTTCATGTCCACAAAAAACTGGTGTGTCAAAAGAATGGTTTTTTCCCTTGACACTGCTATTATTTTAACAACCTTCAATCATCAACAGTGTTTATTGTTTTAAAAAGTGAAAATTAGAATTTTAATGAAACCTAGATATATGAAAGGGAATTTATACATTTTCTTTGTTCTTGAGAATTTGCAACAACAATATTAAACACTGGTGAAATCAATTTGCTGGTTCATTTCAGGAATTCATGTCATCTCATGAAATTTTATTTGTTGTCTACCTGCCAGAAATAACAAGTCATGGCTTCACTGGTCTGGGTGAGATTTCAGTCATACTGTTTCTTCAACGTCAGCCAATCTTGCTGAAAGGGATGTAAACATGCCAACACAAGTAATGACCCTGTTAAAAAATTATCAACAATTTAATTAAAAATGAAATGTAAAAGTCATACAACAGCTATAGAGTTGTTTCATCCCAATCACTTCTTTTCTATCCTTGCAGCATTGAGAGACATCTGCTTGTTAAAAAAGGCAGGGGTGATAACATCTTAGTAGTAATGACTTCTACAGTGGATTTTCTCTAATGCCATGATGTGTATGGGCAGGGTTGCCATTTTTCTCTGTGAGCATTTGACTTTGAGGCATATGCTTTAATGATCTCTGGGTAACTCTCTTTTCTAAGCATGTGTATTTTGTTTATATAGACTTCAGTCTGAAATAGGTATGATTAATTAGCTTCTCAAAAAAAAGAACCTCCAGTTATATAACCCAGTCATACTATAAAGTCGTTTTCAAATTTGGCCTGGATTTCTAAGTTAACAAAATTTTCATTGAAATCAATGTGAATAAGCTTGATAGGTTGCCTATCAAAAACTCTAAAGTTACCAAAAATCCTGTGGACTTTTGGCAAACTCATTACTTATTTAAATTCCTTGAAGCTGTGAGCAAATGAAATAAAATCAATAAATAAAATGGAGAAAACTACCAGTTCAGTGGGGGGGGAACTGGCTGATCACATTCAGTGCCTCAAAAATCAAGCTGATTCATCGCTAAAGATGTAGGGAAAATGGTTGGTTCCCTGTACAACTCCAGAAAGTACCTCATTCCTCCTGTCATTCTCTACCTTTACAAGAGCCAGATCAGGCCAAAAATGGAGCACTGCTGCCATATATGGGAGGGAGTGGCCCAGTCTATATTTTTACTCTTGTTAGTCCAAAAGTGTCTCCACATCCTTGTAGGTGACAAATTATTTTCCACTTTGCAACTCTTCTCACAGACGTGATGTTGTGAGCCTCTCACTGCTCTGTTGTTATTTACATGATGAGTGTTCAGGTAAGCTACACTTCATTCCACTAGACATAACCTTCACAACTAAGACCTGCTGTGGCATGCACATTGTAGCGAATCACCTTCATTCAGTTCATATCCCCCTGGTGAGATGTAAGTTCCACTCAAACAGCTTCTTCCTATGAAGCACTGCTTTGTGGAACTAACTACCGAGAGGCTGCTTCCTCAATCACTACAATCTTGACCTGTTCAAGTCAAGGGTTAACTTATCTTCTGCACATATCCACATAAGCTGTACCTCTTACTCTGTAACCCTTTTATCTTGAGTGACCCCAGGGCCTTGTATAGGTGAACACCACTGTAAAAAAAATTTTTTTTTTTTTAAATTACTTCTTAAGTTTTCAGTTCTGTCTTTATATCTCCTCCATTATGCAAAAGGAGAGTACCTTATTTCAAACTATACACCTTGATGCATTCAGCTTTTTGTGAGATGCATTTTTATCTTTTTGCTATGGAATATCTTCATTAAAATGTCTGCATGTTGCATGTTTCTTTTTTTCACCTCTATGAAGATTAATCTATTCTTAATATTTTTCATGTTTTTAGAAGTTATATTAGAGGAAATCATGTTTTAAATTAGAAAATGGGATAATTTGATTAATGGGATAGACTCTTCCAATTTCAAGACGATAATTCTTGGAAAATTAATTTTCTGTTATGTGTGCTGACATGCAGTCACTTGCTGCTATCCACCCATCTCAAAGTCAAATTTAATGGGAAATATGAAGGGTGAAACAAGTTTGCCTTCATAAGACAGAGACACAGGGGTGGTACAGTTGAATTTTTCCTTTTTTAATCAGCAAGGTAAAAAAGCCACTAACATGCAGGGAGGTTACTGAGTGTGAAAAAATATATAAGAAAAGCATTGAGGCGTGAGAACAAAGAAAAATCAAGAAGAGAGTAGATAACGATTGACATTGCATTTAAATTATTAAAGATCAAATTTGACTGTAAAGCAAGAGAACAGAAAAGAGTTCCATAAGCAAGAAGTGCAAGAAAAGAAACTTAGCATAGAGCTTATGGTTGCATCTAGCCATTTCAACTTGTGAAGTGATGAAACCTTGCCACTAATCTGGTACAGTGCTTAAATTCATCAAGTTCAGGTACCATAGAGGAGAGGTTATCAAAACAATTACCATGAAAGCATTTATAGAAAAGGCACCGTGATGGCAGTGGGAAAGTGATTGAAGCTGAAATGCCTGCTCAGAAACATTGCAGATTCTTCTTTGGATTTTATCAAGGATGCAGTAGGAGCACCAGATGTAGCAGCAATATTCTAAGCATGGACGAATGGTAAACTTGTAAATATATAAGATAGTCTCGAATGAGAAAAAATGTCTAGCATGACACAGGGAATCTACTTTCCTAGCAGCAAACTTAGCAATTAATTCAATATCATCTTTCCACTTCATGTCAGTTGTAAGCATTAGTCCAAGAAGTTGAAATGAGTCACTCACCTGGAGGTTCATATCAGTCATACTGATGGAAGGTAGCAAGGATTCTCTCAGACCATTAAGAGATAGTTTTGTTTTGGAGGCATTAAAATTAACACACCATTCCTTGCTCCAGTTAACAGCAGAATGTAGATCTTTTTTTTTTTTTTTAGATCAGCCGCTAATTTGACCTTATCAATCCGCTTGAACTTACTATTAAGACAGGAATAAGTGGTTGTGTAATCACTATAGATACAGAGTTGAGAATTGATACAATCATGATGGTCGTTGATGAAAATTAGGAACAATGTATGTCCAAGAATAGAGACCTGGGGGACATCTGCATTTATACACAAAGATCTAGAAGAATGGCCATTCAAGACAATTTTCATTTTGCAATTTGATGAGAGAAAAAATAAGTTCAAAAATTCATTCAGAATTACCATGACCTTTCAAATTGTGTAGAAGACCAATATGCCAATCCCTTTGATATCCAAATCAACAGCCATTCTTAGAGTTTAGAGAGAACAGGAGCCAGTTCAGGACTATTGCAGGGATACCATCAAATCCACATGCCTTGAGGCGATCCAGTTTAGAGATGATAGCAGAAACCATGGACAGAGTTATATACATATCACTCAATAGGGACTAGGTTCTAAGTGAAAAATCAGGCAAGGATTCTCCAGATGCATCAAGAGCAGAATTTGAAGAGAATTGAGAATTTATCAGCAGAAGATGTTAACACCTCAAGTTGAGTGAAGAGAGAAGAAATAGAAGGAATAGGAATTTAAGTGACTATTACAGAGTTGCCAGTAGTCACAAGAGTGGTTACATTCATCTGTGGTATGGTATGGATCTCTGTCTGCATATTTGCCACATATGGCCAAAATGTTGCATCCATCTTCATGGTGTCCGAAAAATTAACACTCTCTTAGCATCTATCACTTCTTGACATTTCATTTCAGTCTTAGAGAAAATAGAAACTACAAAGAAACTTATACTTACAATCAGAAAGAAACAGATAAAGTTTCTGGGACCCGATGAAGAAAGAGAACCTACAGAATTTAGCACACACAGGACAGGCAAGAGAAACAGAAGAAAACTGAGTAACCTACTTAACAATTTGTATGAAATGATGGTAGATAGAGGGATGGTAACTGGATAAACATTACTTAGAACAACAAAAGACAGGAAGTTGTAGAGAGCCATGATAGTCCACATCCTTAAGGGACATGGCATTTAAAAAAAGATACTAGTATTTATGAAAACTTGATTTATTTTTTTTAAATTTTTTATTTTTTAAGCGTTTCACCCCAAGCAAGGCGGGAAGCCACTAGGACACAAGGGGTTACAGAAGATTTGGAGCAAGATCAGATAGGAGTGATAGAGGAAAGGATGAGGAGAAGGATAGTGGATAGATCAAGGCAACTGGAGTTGTCGATTGACATTACATCTGAATAGTTGGAGATTATATCTCTCAGGGAAACTGGAATAGGGAAGGGAGTTCCACAGGCGAGAGGTGCAAGACATGAAACTATTGGAGTAGAAGAGACGGCTACATTTATTAGTTTCAACAGTGAAAGGGTGAGAGCAGGATGCCAGCCTCGTAGGGCGGTTGAATTCATGAAGTCTGAGAACCAGCGAATGCAGCTCCTCAGAGCAATTACCATGAAAGTATTTGTAAAAAAGACAGAGAGAGGCGACGGCGCGTCTGTGAGAAAGTGACTGTAGATGAGATGCCAGAACAGGGCCAACTACATTGCATACGCGCCTCTGGAGCTTATCAAAAACCCCGAGGCAAACAGAAGGGGCTCCAGACCATATATGGCAGCAATACTCCATGCAAGGGCGAATTGTTGATTTGTAGATCTGAAGGATCAATTCCAGGGAGAAAAATTTCCTGGCGTGGCACAGGGAGCCAACTTTCCTTGCGGTGGACGAAGCAATTGACTCAATGTATTTGTTCCATCTCAGGTCAGCAGTCAACATGAGACCGAGCAGCCGCAGAGAGGTGGTCTCAAGAAGTTGAGCATCAGATATTCTAATGGAGGGCAGGGAAGGATCTCTGTGGTGATTAATAGAAAGCAGTTTTGTTTTTGAGGCATTAAAGTTGACCAGCCAATTCCTACCCCAGTTCACAACCGATTGGAGGTCCTTTTCGAGACACACGGCCAGGTTAGTTTTGTCAGCGACACTAGATTTGACAGGAATGATTGTATTAGGTCAAACAATCGACCTGTAATGCCATAACCCTGGAGCTTGCGAAGAAGGCCAGCATGCCAAACCCTATCAAACACTTTGGAGATGTCTAGAGCCACGGCATGAGCTTCCCCGTTATTTTGAAGAGCTTGGTAGACAGTTTCAATGATGGCTGTAAGCACATTAGCTGTAGATCGGGCAAAGCGGAAGCCATATTGCTTGTCCAAGAGCAGATCATGGTGGTTAACCACTTCAGTATTGATTAGGGCTTCGAAAACTTTGCCGAAGAGGGGTAGGAGACTGATAGGATGGTAATTAGAAGGGTCAGAGGGGTCGCCAGATTTCTTGAAGACAGGAACAATTGAAGAGGACTTCCAGCAGTCAGGAAAACAAGATTCCTTGAGGCAGTAGTTATATAGTTTAGAGAGGGCAGGCGCCAGTTCAGGCGCGCATTTCTTCAAGACAATGGCTGGTGTCCCATCCCCACCACTAGCCTTTTTGGGGTCTAAATTGGAGATAATACCCAATACCAAAGACGGGGTTATGTGTAACCCACTCAATAGGGCCTCAGTTCTAAGAGGGAAGTTGGGTATGGGTTCACTGAAAGAGTCAAGCGTTGAGTAGAATGAAAATTTCCAAGCAAAGCATTCAGCCTTGTCGGCAGAGGAAGTCAGGACTTCGAACTGGTTGAACAAAGGAGGTATAGAGGGTTTGCAATTGTTCAATATGCTCTTGCAGAGATGCTAATAATCTTTGGAGCCAAATTTGCGAGATGCAATCGCTCTCCTTCATCCGAGCAGCAAATAGTGACTTAGAAAAATGAGGACATGCTTACACTCCAGTTAAAAATGAGGCAAAGAGACATCTATTGAGTCCGACATGTCACTACAAAATAGGTGAAAGAAGTGGTTCCTATGGGCAATGGCGGCTGAGCAAGCAGCGGAGAACCAAGGGGAGGAGCGTGACTTGACCCTATATTTCCTTGAGGGGATGAAAGCATCGATTCCAGCTTTAACCCAGGATTAGACCTCAGAAGCAAAATCATTCTTGGACAGGGGAGCGTAAAGACAACATCCCAGGAGACATCATTCAGGAAATCACAGAAGCTTCGTTGATAGTAGAAATTGCATTCTAGTGGTAGGAGGTTCTTTTTTAGGGGTGGAGTTGAAAGAAATGTTAACAGATACTACAACATGATCTGAGTTACCAAGAGGGCAGAGTTGTTATTCCACAAGACTCGGGGATGGAAGTAAAACACAGATCGAGAAGAGAGGCCTTACCTTCCCGGTTGAAGGCAAAACGAGGAGATTAGTAGTAGACATAAAAATTCAATCAAAAAAGTAATAAAAATAATGAAGATAGAACATTTACTAGAAGACACCTAGATTCTATAGCTTACCAAAACAAATGCGGCAATGCAACCTGTTACATCTGGTATAGGCAGCATCCTTCACAAATTAGCAAAAGACTTAGTTAAATTTTTTTAACATCTCTTTTAAAAACAATCCCACTTTAAAAATTTTAGTGCTCCCATCAACAAATTGAAAAATCGAAAAATATAATATAGTTATAGCTAACTTAAATATAAAATTCTTATACACCAATATACAAGTTGACAAATGTCTGTTTTTAGGCAACAGACCGGGTTTGAGAAGCAAAATTTGTCAATACATGGATCGACATATCAACTGTGTCAAGCCCATTTAAAGATTTTCACCTTCCTAAAACGTAGTAACACTGAATTCTTTGGAGACATAAATGCTTAATGAGCAAAACATTTGTTTCATTTTTAGGCATACCCAGATTGATTCTCAGAGCCAAGAAGCATATGAATTGGCCTGCAAGGGATTGATACGGCCACTGGAAAACTCGGCAGTCCCTATCCTTTATGGGGTTCGGTGCATAGATTTTAATCTGCCTAATTTTACTCTTGGTAAGTTGAATTGCACTCCCTGAAAATGTTAATTATTTGAAGTTAAATTATTTAATAAAATTAACCCAGATTTTATTATGAATGACTGTTTGCAGTTGGAAATGAATAAGTCTTTATAAAAAAAAACAAAATTAACCTTTAAAATACCTTTATTTCAAAGGTTATTTTTTGTTTTTCTATTAATTTTATCAAGTTCTTTCATGCTTATATCAATTAACAAAACCAAGTTTGCTTGTTTCCCATAAATTTCTTTGGATGATGACAAAATAAACCTTTTAAGAACATTTTATGATAAAATGGGTTTAAAATCCCTTGCATATTTTTCCTATTTAATTTCTTATAAACTCTAATACAAGAATGTGATGAGGTTTTATTATTTGTAGCTCTTATTAAGATGGTTAATTGTTTAAACACATGACAAGATGGTTAACATTATTTAAATATTTTCGATTTACTTCTTGGTAAGAACATACATTTTAGATGCTGCCACTTTTTCTTTTTTCCAGAAGTTCACACCCTTTATGAAAAGGCATCCTATCTGATGTTACTGTTACATGATCTTGGTATTCTTCTAAAATCTTCAGCTGTGTGCACACAAGTGCGGCGTATACGTTACGGCCACTTCACCTTGGAACATGCCCTGCTACGGAAATTTTGGACATTAGAAAATATCCTTGAGAATATTCAGTTTTGCAAACCACTGACACAAGCAGATAAAATTATCACACCAGAGTTATTAGTGGATCAGGCAGACACAAATTTGAAGCAGTTAAGTTAGTGAAAAATCTCATTGATAAGTTGATGTTTGACTGCTTTTTAAATCTTGTCAAAATGGCAAGATTTTTGTTTTATATATAAAAAGAAAAAAATTTTAGAAAGCACAAATTATTTGAATCAAAATTCAAATGCATTTCATCAAATAATTACATACAACTCAGCTTCTTCCAGGAAAGAAAGGTGCTTTTCATCTTGCTTTGTGTTCTCAATAATAGTCACATCTTTTTTGACCGATTTGATACCATCAACCCTAGTTCCTTCTGTAGAGTTAAATAGTTCTTATGAATAAAGATGGAAAGAAAAATCAGATTACCAACTTTAGAAAGGTTCACAAATTTTCTTAGAAAACAAGAAAATCTACAATGTTTTTTCTAGGTTTTCTTGTTTTCTAAACAAATAAAAAGAAAATGAAAGAAATTACATGTATCAGCAATAGTCAAGTCTCTATCCACAGTTGTTCTAATAAAAAATGGTTAGATTAAAATATAAATATAAACATCGTTCTCATTTGCATGTAATTTTGAGTAGATTGTTGGTCATCTTCAAACATAATTTCTATTCCTTTAAATATATTTTCATGCTGCCCCATATGTAAATTCATAAATCATTTTTTTCAAAAATTACTTGTTAGTACAAAACAATTTATTCAAAACCTTCCAAAACAATTAAAATGGCAATGGATATTTAAAACATTGTAAATTTCAAAATGAAATTAAAAATTTTCTATTTTTTTATCAAAGAAATTAGACTTTTGATTTAAAAAGCATTAATGGTTGAAAGGAATTGGAATTTCAAAATGAAATCCTGTATACATGGAAATAATAAATACTTAGGCAGACTTACACACATGTGCACATTTTCTTTTATAGAAATATCCAATGTTGATGAACAACAGACATTTACTTTGCTTAACTTATGGCCAAATGGTAGGAAAAAATTGGTATTCAAAATCCTGACTTGAACTTTAATGGTTGCTACTACACCCATCTGCAACTACAGGGAGACAGAAGCATAATTAATTGGAATTTTCTGTTGTAGAATCAGCTTTGCTTTCATTTTCATTTTCCTTTAAGACACATTCAAGTTCTTTTTTAAATTCCTTGTAGTCAATGCTGTCACTGAAAAGACAAAAAAAAGTCACTTGTTTGCAAATATATTTATATTTACTAATTTTAACTGAGTCCAACACAAGGTCACAAATGTGTGACACCAAGAGAGGATTGTATTCACTTTTGGTCTGCAAAATTCACTAAATATCAAATAATAGATTGATTAATTGCCTTATAAAACAAAGAAACACAAGAGAAACTTCTCATATCTTTTGACAGCCCAAACATCTGATTCCCAAATTTTAGCAACATTTTTCTCCATTGGAAAATTGATCTTTCATTTGACATTTTTTCTTTGTTGTTCATCGCAATTTGTAAAATCCCTTGGCCTCTTGATGGAATACACCAAAACATGACAGATACCTTGTTACCATGCTGCAACTAGTAATTGAAAAAAGAAAGATCTTAAGGTCATTGAAACAGTTTAAGAATATACATAATTGGTTATAGCATCCATACAAGCAAGAAAGTGGCACTCTGAGGAGATTAAGGCAGCTCAAGATAAAAATGCCATCTGCTATCAGGTAGTCATATTTGGATGTATGGCCTCTGATCATTTCATCCTGAAGTAAATAACAATACGGGGTGGGGGTTCAGATCAAAAAAATCATAAGTCCGAGTTTGTAATTCAAAGGGTAAAAAAAATCAGTACTGCAAGTTAAATGTCAGAAACTGCTGGGAGCATAAATCAAAAAGGTAAAAAAAAAAAAACACATTACAATATGCAACTATCTTCTTCACCCACAAAGAACGAAGAAATCCTGTCATCAAAAGTAATATTCTTTTATTGGGGTAAGAAAGGTTATGATTGGTTAAAATTGGTAGGGAAGACCAAACAGTTACCATATTTCAAGGCCTGCTACAGTTGACTCAATCAGCACAGATAACACAAATTCTTTTTTGAAGTAAGGCTTGGTTTTCTCCTTTGTTGCTGCACTCCTCCCTGATTTCATGATCAGTCAAGTGACAACCTGAAGTTAGCTTCTTTAGTTTTGTGTTTCTGCTTAATGGGATGATCATTGTCTTGCCTTCTGAGGTGTTTTCAGTCTCTAAGGTGTCCACAGAATTATTAGGCTCAAAAGTGTATGCTTTTGAGGACAAACCCAATGCACCTCTAATAGTGACTAATCTTTCACTATCTGAGGATGCACTGCTTGTCTCACTCGCTGACATGCCAGAACCTACAAAGGGGTGCAATTTGATGGTGCAGTATTCCATCAACAAGAATATTGTGTGGCTATTGATTCCAATGACTTATCCTATTCAATATTTTGCATCATGCACAGCTGTGTGAGGCTTTTACCCACACATCCCATGCAGGCGAGATTGCCACATCAATGCCTTTCTGCCAAACTTGGTAGTAGCGTATCATATTGGTGGATGCAGTTGAGGTCAATGTGTCATCATTTGGCATGACATTGTAACAATAAACTGCTTCCATTATTGTACATTGCTTTCTTGCAATGATCCTTTTCAAAGACCTGTGGTATCTCTCATGTACGTCATTCCCTGAAGGTGTATACATACATCACAGCCAGGGCCTGATGCCCCATTCCTCTATTGGCTGCAGAAGTCTCATTATCAGCTAGTGTTTCTGGGGGTGGGGGTTGCTTGCTCAGAAAACACTGATTCCCACTGAGATATCACTAGCAGTGACTGGTTGCAACAGTGGTCACCAAATTGAGAACAGTGTAGGCCTGCAGTTGATGATCAGCATCAGGAATTGTTTGTCATTGTAATGGGTGGCATCCATACTCAGTATACTACAGGTTTCACTGATATTTAGATTACCCTTTCTTCACCACATGGTAGCTAGATGTTGTGGAGTAACTGGATTGGCCTAAGACTATTTAAACAGCACTCTCACTTACTGAGGGAGAGGAGTTAACGATTAGCTGTTTATTACATTATTCTGTGTTCTCAACCATGTACCATTTTCTGGAATAAACTACTACTTATTTTTTTATATGTATGTCAACCTTTCCTATTTACGACACAACATTTATGAGGGATTCAAATGTTAAAATTTCCAGTAGGATACCAACATTTGACAACAAAATTTTTGAGTGTAATGCCAAGACAGACTGAGGATTTGAGTTTAAAGAAATTTACAGTCATATACCAAGAAATTGTTGGCAATGACTCAACCTTGGATTAATTCCAAATCTGCATAACAGATTGATGTGTTAAAAACAATTAAGTATTTTATTTGTTCAGTAATTTTTTATGGGGAAAAAAAAAGAGTAGGAAATTGTTTGGTCAGTTAAATTTTGTCTCTACAAAGAAACATGGAGGATTTGAAAGAAAACAATGGTGGACTTCATGAAAATCCAGCAGAAACAAAATGAACAGTTGTAGGATCAACAATGTTTGGACCAGGAACACTCTGAAAAACAAAACGAACAGTTTGAAAAAAATGTTCAAATTGTTAGTATTGGAAAAAAGAAAAACAGCAGTTCTTTTTCTCAGTAAATTCAGTTGATGAATTTAAGTACAGTCCTGAGGAGAAGGTAACTTTTGTGGTGTATTTTCACTGTCATGAGATTTTTCAAAAAGATTGCAGTTGGATGAAAAGAAAATACATCTGTTGCTTGGAAAATTTAGTCCAAGTGAACATGAAAATTATGCAAGCTACATACTTCCGCGAAATCCTAAGGAAATATCTTTCGAGGAGACTGTCTTAATTCTGAAAAGATTTTATGGGGAGAAAAGTTCTCTATTCAACACAAGATGGCAGTGTTTAAACCTTACAAAAAAGTGGAGTGGATTATTCGACTTTAGCTGGGATTGTAAATAGAGAGTTTAAATTAAAAGAACTTACTCCTGATAAGTTTAAGTACTTGAGTTTTGTACAGAGACTGGTGATATTATAACTGGAATTTTGTCTAAATTAGAACAAAATCCAAAAATGAGTCTGCAAATAGTCACAGAAGAATGCAAATGAATAGAAAATCTTTGACATGACACTGCAAGGATAGAAGAATGTGACATGTCAAAAATTCAGGCAGTTAAACAAAGACAACATAAGGAAAATTTTGTCCACAAAATAAATTCTTGTTATGGCTATGGACATTCATTATTACAAGGAATATCCATTTAGAAGGAAAGAATGCTTTAATTGTGGAAAAAAGGACATAAGCATTATACATTGAAGAAAAACCAAAGTTAAATGGGGTCAAAAATGAAAAATACAGTTAACTACAATGGAAAACAAAGAAATAAAAATGAAAAGAAATTTTGTAAATGTACAGATGAACCATAAAAATATTAAGTTCCAATTATTTACGTGTCTAGATCTGACATTGATAATTGAACAAACTTGGAAAAGAATTAGCAGGCCAACTTTATTGATGACAAAAAGAAGTGCTCATGACATTATAGGAAGTAAACTAAATTTTGAAGAATTTTAAACACTGTGACATTTATTGGTAAAACTATAAAATTAAAAGGATTCATTATGGAACAAACCCAGAACCTGTTTGTATTGATTGGATTGAGTTATTCGATCTTTTCAACCAACCAATTAATTTGTTCTGCCATAGTGTCAGTGTTAGTTCAAACAGCATGGAAAAATTAAAAAAGAATTAAAGATGAAATTTCCCAAAATCTTTTGTGGGGGACTTGGCAGATGCACAAAAGTTAAATCCACATTCAAACTTAAAGAGAATGTGACACCTATTTTTAGGCCAAAAGGAAAAGTACCTTTTGCAGATAAGTGGATTTGATATTTTTCTGTTTTTCAGTGCTGTGATCACTGACATGGAGTCGGTGTATATAAATCATTTTCTATGTTTACTCAAATTTATGATGTCACAGGCCAAGTTGTTAGCTGTCTAAATACTAAATATGGAAGCTTTGTCTGGGAGTAATTTTATTAATTTTGATTTTGTGGTGGATGGCTGCACATCCAACTTTATTTGCAGCTTTAGGTCCATCTGTATAGATAGACAGGTGGTCTGCACAGGCATCTTTGATGGAGAGTAATTCTTCATGGAATGTGTTAGGATTGGTTTTAGATTTTGGGGAATTTTAATAGGATGTTTGGTTGTTTTATCATCCAGGGGAGTGTTTTAGAGTTGATGGACTCTTGGATTTATGCTGTATTTATTTGTTTTGTTTTTTTCAAGGAAATTTTTAATACAGATATCATATGGTTTGATGGTGTCTTTTGTGAAGAGAACAGTATATTGTTGATGAAATATGCATTTATATGCAGGATTTGATGTGCAGGTTGAGAGTTTAATATAATATTGAAGAGCCAGTTTTTCCATTGTATTGCTAATGGATGTTCATGTGCTTTTGTGTATAGTGTGACACTATTTAGCCATGGTAATTGGCTAACTAATTAGACAGACTGATTGATGAAAAAAAAAAAAGATTTTAATTCTATTTATGAAAAAAAAAAAGATACTTTTCACAAAAGACTGTGAACCCAGGAAGAAGCCACGTGTAAGGTCTTGTCCTGTCGAGTTAATTTATGTCTCGCTGAGGGAGATAGAAAGAAAGGCAAATATGGAATTATCGGCCAAAACACGTGCCAGTCATAAAAATTTCGGCTGGAACAAAGGCCAATACAGGCAGGGAGAATCAATGTTAATTATCTTTCCAAGATATCATTAATTTTTTTTCTTGGATACAGGTGAAGAGAAGCAATGTGGTAATTATAAAATTTTGGCATTGTCTCGATATAGGTGAGAGGCTTGTTATCGTTTACTTTGCCAACAGACGCTAAGACGTTGAATAGCAATGTGGCAATTGTAAACTTTTGGCAATCCCCAGAAAATAGTGGACAATTGAGATTTGGCGAGATAAAAGAATTTAATTTCTTAACAAATCAAGGATTCCATTATGAAGCTAACTTAGCGTAAAGAACCAGATGACAAACTTTGACAGTGATTAATGAGACGGTAAGTGTGCTGGCTAAGTGACTTTTGGGTGGCCCAGGAAAAGGAGTAGATATAAAAATTTAATTGGCAATGTGGGGGTTCGTAAGAATTTTGGCCGATAGGAAAGGAAAATTTTGTAAACAAAAATTCTAGATTATAATTTTAAGGAGGCCAGTGTAGCCACACCCACACTGCCGAGAGATCATTGGTCGTATGTTAGCTGGTGATAGAGTTGGCATTGAACCAGTACAGCTGGTGAGCTGTTAACATTGACGACCAGAATTCGACCCTGGTGTCACATATTGGTGCCTAGACCACTGGATTCAACGCTGGACGTCTGAGTGTCACATATTGGTATCCTGACCAGGGGATTTCGCCAAGTAGCGATGACCGGGACACAGGCTGGTGGCAGTGACAAAGAGTCAACCCTAAACCGTCGGTAGAAGAAACCTGACAATTTCGCGTCGCGACTGGGAGTTGAACATGGACCGACAGCTTAGTGTTAAAATAGTTTTCCCACTAAGGATATGGTGAAAGCTCCTAGAATTATTCTTAATCCTTGATGATGCTTTTATGTAGCTTTTTCTTGCTTCATCATATATAAAGCAACCATAATGAAGTTTTTATCTAATTAATGAGTGATATATCTGGAATAATGATTCTTTGTTTGCTCCCCAGTCTCTTAAGTATTAAGTATATGAGGTATAAATGTTAATAGGTACTTGCATTGTTCTACTACTGGAATTTTGTTATTTTTTAGTTTTAATGTTGGATTGATTTTTCAAAGCTGGCAGAAGTGCATACATTCTGTGTTTTCTTTTGAAAATATAAAACCATTCTTGGTAGCCCATTTTTTTTTATTTTATTAAGACATAGCTGGAGTTGTCCATTTGTGTATATGTGGTTATATTCAGCTTAGTTATTTTTGATAATCTGGAATTATTATGAGTGTTATGGTGTTTGTTTTCCTCTTGGAGTACCAAGTTAAATCCAATAAAACATTTGGTGACTTTAATAGCCATGGAGCTTTTTTAGGTATGGTGGATTCATGTACCTTTTCTATGTCAGTGTTTGTGCCTGGTTAACTCTTATACAGATGTTGAAATGTTTAATGACCTTTTCTTTTGAAAAGGGATTTATATTGTATTTTAAAAATAGAATTGTATTTTTTTTATTTTTATATTAAACAATATAATTTTTTATTTTTATATTAAACAATGTAAGACTAGGTGATTTATTGTACTTCTTCCTTTTCTGAATCCAATTTGATAATAGGTTTTTGTTCTAAATACTATGTTAGTCTGGTATTGATCATCCTCTCAAAGGTTTTATATATGTAACTTGAGAGCTATAGATTGGTAGTTTTTTTAGTTTGTTGGATCATTTCAATGGGGGGGGGGATTATAGTAGCTTTTATCCAAGAGGTGGAGACATTTCCTGTGATTCATATGTTGCTGTATGTTTGTAGTAGGTACTGAAATGATGTTTTAGGTAACTGCTTTAGGAATTGGTAGTGAGTCATCTGGTCCTGTAGCTTTATCATGAACTTTGTTTAGGAAGACTTGCAGTTTGGTGATTAAGAAATGTTGGTTGTAATCATCGTCGCTTTGACACTGAAATTTTACTTTTTTTCCCTCTTTCTCTGATTTTTTATAATCTTTCATCTATGTTTTTGGATGATGAGTTTTGTAATAAGTTTTCTGCAAGGTCTTGTTTTTTGGCTATGTCGTGTTTATAAAATTTGTATTCTAAATTTTTGTAGTAAATTTCCAATATCTTTGGTTGGTTTGTTTTGAAATTACCAGTAATTAATTAAAATTCCTCTCTGACCAAAAAATATTTATATTTTGCTGGTCATAGTTGATGTATTAAGGTATTAGATTGTATGTTAACATTCCATTTGGAGCATTTTAGAGCCTTTTTCATTGATTTCCATTTCCTCCAAGTGTTCATGTCTATTGCTGGTTGGAGTCGATATCTCATGAGCTCAATCTTCATCTGTGGTATTCAGCATGAGGTTTACACTTTGCTTTTCTGAATGCAATGTTCTTGTTTTATGGTTTCAACCTCAATAGGGGCTGTGATTGTTTGCTTCGTTGTGATGGTGAAGTCAATAATGATTTTGATATTTGTTTTGTTTGAGAAGTTGAATTGGATTGGGAGCAGCATATACCTTAGGTTGTAGTGTCTGGCAATAATTTAATTCTTGTGATAGAACAGGTTCAAATTTAGAAAAGGCAGTTTGAATCAATGAAGAGGGAGAATATTTTGTTCAATTTTAGTTCTGAGAGTTGATTCAACAGTGTGTTCATGTGTGGCAATCATTGATCTTTGGTTGATATCTACATATAATAGTTTCTTGGTAGTAGATTCCACTGTTTTTCTAGCTTCAGGGAAGGTCAAGTGTTTCAGTCTTGTGATTTTCTTTTTCTTTCTTCCATACTTTGCATGTTCTTGAGTTAGCAGAGTAACTTCTACCAAAGTTTACACATTTTAATTACGATCACAGTTGATTTCCATGTGTTCCAGGTTATTCTCTCTGCACTTTCTGCATATTGTTTTTTTGGGGGGTGGGGGGCATTTTAACTTTTTAGTATTGGGGATGTATATTTCTACTTTGGTTATGGTGTATCCTATTTTCAATATTGGAGTGGTGGAAATATTGAAGGTGAGGATGTACATCTTGGTATTGATTGTTTCACTGATAAATGGAGACAGTTTGGTGATGGGGGAATAATCTAATTGACCCCAGTAATATGAATTTGGAGAAAGAGATTGTTCTAAGTTGTTATTTGAGTGTGTTTCAAGATGTGGATGCTTGGAAAATTTTAGAGATGACATAAGTTTTGTGAATTTCATTATCTCTGCTCTCCAACCAACAATGTCTATGTTGATATGACCAAGGATACACAGATAGTATACTGTGTCCAAAAGAAACTGAACACCAGTGTAATCATGCCTCTCTATACAAAGTATAGAGTGTGTCAGGGGCAACACTGTTATGTTAAAGTTTTTGCCTTTCACAGTTTGACTGTTAGCCAAATCCACATGTTTCAATTTGTATCTGCTGCATACATTATAGTCATTGATACTAGTAGGGGACAAGGTTGAAACAATTATAGAGAGATTGTATGTAGATTAGGACTTGATAATATTTGACTTTCATATCTTATATTAACTGCCATGATATTGTCATACTTGCAGAGATATTTTAGTCATTTGATGGATTATTTATTTTATTTTTATACTAACCCCCCCCACACACACACACACAGCACTTAACATGGTTACCAAACTTAATTGAACCCTGCTAGGGTAGAGGCTAGTGAAATAATTGAAAGATGGAGTACTATCCTTGAGATGGCAAATTTTCAGGCAATAGTAGCATGTGAATTCCAGACATGTCAGCATTACAAAATCTTGTGCACACATAAGTGATCCAAGAATGATACCATCAGCAACTAGCAAAGGGGAATATTGTATCAAATCATTTCCCATTAGACTGGCTCATTAATGATTACCCTCAGAAATACAATAGAAACAAAAGTCCTTTATGGCCAGACAAAGAAAGCATTTTATAGTAGACCCTACTGAGAAGAATGTTTATTTGACACACTTGGCTGGTTGTGATCTGAAATATAGCTACCCACAGATTTAGATTCTTATTCCTAGAATTTCAAAATCTTCAATATTCAATATGAATTCCTAACAAAAGAGCAATGACTTGACAAAGAAGCTGAACAATTTAGCATAAAAGTTTTCTGCTTGATACTTACACATCTTGTGTTCCTTTATGGCACACCTTAAAGCATGTCAAAAAAGATGGGTGGCACTTATAAGATCCTAGTTGTTTAATGTCTTTGATTGATAAATCTGTTTGAACAAACAAATGGAACATTACATCCGATACAATCTGCTTCACCTGCAGGCACCTGGAATTTAAAAAAATTGAGACAATTATTTTACAATATTATATTATAATATTTTTTAACATTCTTTCACCCAAGAAATGTCCAATAAATTTGCTCGTTACAAACTTGACTTTGAGAAATAGTTATGCGTTTTTTATTTAGTGGCCTGCCAAGTTGTTTTGTTTAAAAGGATAAGGATCAAGATGACCATTAGCCTCCATGTTCCAATTTCTTTTGATGATTGTTTTTATTTTGCAGTTAGACCCCATGATTTTTACTAAATATAAATTTTATTAATAAAGTTACTGATAAAAACAGTGTAATCATGAATTGGCACATAAACTGATGATTCAAGTGATTCTAAAATGTTATGAACATAAACAAGGAATTCCAAAGTATTCTGATATTTGGTTAGATTTTATTTCTTTCAATGTCTCCTTTTTACTTCTGATCATCAGGCAACTGGTAAGTAAAATGTGACCATCAACAGAAGATAAAACATTTCAGAACAAATTCTTTTAATATGAACACACTTGTTTCTTTACATTACACTTTCCCATTTCAAAGAATCTTTTGTGATTGAAGTTATGAATCTTCTAACAAAAACCAATGGATCATTGCATTTCAGAAATTTTTAACATAAATCATTTTAAAATTTGGAAAAAAACACTTTTATGAGCAATGACAGATTAGCAAGGAAAGATTAAATGTATTTCTGAATTCTCATTACTTGTGTTTATGCTGAAAAATGTTTAATAGTCATTATTTGAGTTTTGTTATAAAAACAAAATAGTTTTATTTTTCTGTGTAGAATCTCCTTTAAAATAAATCTTTCCAAACTTGTTTCTATTTTTTGTATTGTTGCATCATTTATTATTTTGATATTTATGGTTATCTTTCTTTGATTACATTCTATTTTTTTCTATTTTCTTTCATAAATTAAGATCAAGAGTCAGTTAACTATACTGAAGGTCTCTTCTTTTTATTTTTTCTTATAAGTTGCCCCCTTTGTTCCTGAGGACATTTCAAAAGATTTCTTCAGATCAAAAAACTTAAGATGTGTGTGGAAGAAAAACTAGCAGATCCTTGTAACAGGTTTGGTAGTGTTATTAGTGGTCAGATTATCCATTCTTAACTGAACCAAACACTATCAAAGAAGTTTATACAAAACAACAAAATTTGAGTAAACTGTTCACTTTTTGTTTTGCATGGGAAATATTTTATTTACATAATTCTACAAAAGCAAGAGGCTTAACAATTCCCAACCACATACAGAAATACATGAAATCATATTAAAATAAAACATGGAAGAAGCACAGATTCATTGATTTCAAATGATAGCCATCTGTCAAACATTTAAACTTCACAGATAAACAAAGAAAAAGCAGACAAGTATAGAATGGTTGAGGCTAGCAGATACACCATTCAGTTGGAGGTACCAAGGTCATATGAAATCTGGCTACCTGTTTTTTTTTTTTTTGTTTTGTTTTTTTAATGAAAATCATGTCATTTTGCTTCAATTTAATTAATCTTTGAAGATCTGCCTGGTGATTAAAGGATAGACCACATGAAAATGCAATAGTTCATGGTTAAAAGTTTTTAATCATCTGCTATTGTTTAGATACTGAAGGTGTGTCATCCTTTATTTATTAAGCCAATCAAGGATACAATCTGTTCTTACTGCATTTGTAATGTTTTGTGATGATGACTGTTCAATGATTTTATTGAACATTTTTGTTGATTTTAAAGAAAATATATGTGGACTATTTTAGTTGGTGTTATTGATTATCATTTAAATGGCCATTTTGTGGAGAAACATCTCACATTCTTTAAGGGACTTAATTTTTCTCTCAATAATACTTTATTAGTCATGCTCCAAATATGAATAAAATCTAATCTATTACAATGGTTTTTGTTATGACTAATATTCTGTTTAGTAATATCTTTTCAGAAATCTTTAAAAAAAAATTTAAAAAAAAAAGACTTATATTATATTTTGGCAAATATTTTCTTGGCTTGTAAGATCTTCAAAAATTCATAAATTGGGAAAAAATGCCCAAAAATATATTCAAGAAATGAATATCTTTCAAAAAACAAGAAACAAAAAATATGTTAGCCACTGTATTCTGAAGATAGCTCTGCAAAACCTGTTTGTAACTCCAACCTTTACCAAAAACATGACCAGTTGAAACTGTGTTGAAAGTACTAAACTGAATAAGAATTAGAGATTAATGTGATGGAGAGAAAAATAAGTTAAAAGTAGATAATCCATTCTTTCTATAATTGATGCACAGATAAGCTTGGCTGCTATATGTATTGGCAGTTATAACAATAGAAGTAATTAGGTTTTAAGTCTACCATTGTCTCTACTGTTAGTAAAGAATTAATTGACACTCAAAATTGAACTCACTCTTGCAAAAATTCTTCCACACCCTTTATTCGTTCACAGACAACATCTGGATCATAATTCCTGCGAAACAGATAGTTTGGAGGTAAAGAAGGAATTTTTCTGCAGAAGAAAACCAAAATGCATATTTAATTAAAAATACTTATTTAAATATACCCTAACTCAAAGAAAAAGATCAAATGAATGAATTTAAAAAGTAAAGGGATTCTTCTTTTATTTAAGTTTGACAGTAGGATCAAAACTGATTTTTTCTGAAATAATTTCCACTCCAGTTATGCTCCTCAATGCTTGAAGACTAACCACTTAGAATTTCACAAGAAATCAAGGAGATTACATATTTCAAAAAGGTAAAGAAAAAAAATAAGAAAGTGAAAAGATTAAAAATGTTAGATATATTAAATGAAGGGGAAAAGAAAAGTTTCACAAGTCAATATTGGCTTGGTGGTCAATGTCTCTTGAATTTGTGTGCAAAAGAACAAAATTCAAATTTTGTTAATTTCCCACCTTAAAATCAGAATTGAATATGAAATCAGTTGAGAATTTTTCAGTTACTCAAACATCTTTCCAGTTGCATTTGCAAGTGCCAAATATAAAGGTTCTATAACTGACTACACTTTGGTAAAAGTCCACAAGTACTAAGCACCCACTGAGCAACAACAATACCATCACTACTCAATAAATTATAATTATATATTAAATTTTAAAACAAGGGTCATTCCAAAAGTATTGCCTCCTATTTTATTATGTTGACAGAGATCATAGATATTGAACTTTCCTGCCAGTAACCTATAATTTTTTTTTGACCTTATTACATATAGCAGCCAAATAACAGTCTGGTAAAATAACATCTAACATGAAAGTTCAAAAGTACATTATTGAATTCCTTCATGTGGAAAAATTGCACTCACTGACATTCGTTGACTTATGATGAATTTCTACAGAGACTAAACAGTGGATGTGAGCACAGTAATGCATTTCAACAGTGGAAACAATAATGGGTATGACCAACCACATTCAGACAGCACTTGTTCATCTCTGGAAATTCATGTATAGCCAACAGTGATGACTTTGGAAAATTAGTGTTTTGAAAATTTGATCTAGCCAACAGTGTTATAGTGCTCCTTGTACCCTTTGTAGTTTCTGTAGGAATAATGACCAGGTGACATATTTCATTTATATTTTAATGTATTTATTGTATATCTTATATATTTTATTTTATTTTTTACCAAAAAGTTCAACATTGTCAGATTCCTCTTGTTTTTCTGTTACAAGGTGGAGGCAGAAAAGAGTCTTTTGGGAAATGGATGAGCAAATTTACATACAACTTAATGTATTTTGTATTTCTCCATTTCCTTTTGCTTAGATAGTATAAGTTTCATTAACTTCTAAGTTAAAACTTTATACACTCACAGTATGTACACAGGTGTATCACACAAGGTTCAACATAATTGACTTAAAAAAATTCTTCAAATGAAAAATAGGGAAAGCCAGTCAGAATCAGCTGATTTCAGAGTGCATTTCATTTTAGAGCAATGCAAAAATGCAAACCTTGATGCAAGGGGTGTGTCATCATGGTAGTGATGCCAGTATACATTTGGAATACAACTTATATTGGACTGGCCTAAAGGAGAAAAGACAATGTGGAGTTGGATCAAAGATGTTGGTCATCAACCATGAAGAGAAATGGTCAAATTTGATCCTCCAAGTTATAATCTCTTTGATTTTATTCTTTGTTGAAATTTCACAATCAGTTCTGAGTGGGTCTTTTCAAAGAACACACTTGGCTATTCAAATGTTTCAAAGGCTCAGCCCTAATGTATTTGGGATTTTTTCCTTTCAGAAGAAACAAAAAATATTTTACTTATTGATTTCAAATTGAAACATTCTGGTGTTCTTTTTAAGGATTTAAGGCAAATGTTTTAAATTTCTTAAAATAATTGGCACTCACTGATTGCAATAGTGTTTCAGAAAAACTCTTCGGAGCCAACAAAATTCTTTAAATGATCTCCAGACACTCACAGACAATTGGGTAGCAAAAAATCCACTGCTGCTCTAGAAAAATATAATATAAAAATGTTTTTACATAAAACTTAATTGATCAGGGCATGATTTTTTGGTGTAAAGTTATTTTCATTTTGATTGATTAGATTTGGGGAAAAAACAACAACAATGTGAATTGCTTTATGATGAACAAAAAACTTTCAATATTTGGCAAGAAAAAAAGCTTATTTCTACAATGAGGATCGCTAAAAGTAAATTAATCTTGCAAGATAAAAAAATAACCAAATTCTTGCACGAGGCAAGATTTTTGAGAAATCTATTGCTATGTAGAATTTTTGAAAGCAACAAATAACATGAATGGCAAATGAAGATAAACACAAAGTCTAGCTACATCTGACACAATAGTTGAGTATCTGTTAAAAAAATTGCAATATAAAGGAAATTATGGCAAAGATTTAATGAATTTCAAGAAATAATAATGTCATTTATAAAGGACCTTGTCAACTTTTTTAATTAAGATTTTTTTAGCCATAAAATTTTAAATATATGCTATCATTTAAACCTATGATTAATGTTTTTCAGAAAAAAAAATAAAAATTCTTTTTGTACATTTTTTTTAATTATACACATTTCTATTTTTTTATTTTTTTAGCATTCTAAATTTAGAAGTATAAAAACATGCATATTCACTTTAAATGTGGTGAATCTGTCAGCATCAACCAAAAAGAGCCAGACATATAGAATTCCATGACAAGCATATTGCCCATCAAAAGTGATTAGTGCTATACAAAAATCAGTACAAAATGCAAATTACTTTTTTGTATAGTGGTGGATAATTTGCCACAAAAATTATTTTTTAAAAAAGGAGCATGAAAAAATTCAATATCTATTTTTGTGATTAAAAAAATATTTGTTGTTCTGATTAGATAACTCTAGCTTTCAAGCAGGTCCACTGCATTTGAAAGATTGGCAAATTACCCACGCCTAATTCATTTGGTCTTGTGTTAAGCTAATATTCTTTTTTGTTTAAATGGCACCAATTTCAACACCATAAGAATTGATAAAAAAAAGTATTAATTCAAGCTTTAAGCCCATGGAAGAGGTCAGTAGTTAGCAATCTATAACAGTATAGTAACCCTGGTTCAATGCAAGCGAATGCTAAATGATGATTTAAAGCAGGAAAAAATTTAGGTTAAACAGTTTGAAAATCTGGGAATTGTTGTGGAGTTTATTCTCCACAATAATTAGCTTCCCAGTTTTTTAGGCAAGGAAATAATTTAAATTTTTTAAAAGGATAAAAATGCTTCTTTTTTTTCTGTCATGTTTGTAAACAAATCATATAAAACATTTTCAGAATTAAACATGATTTTCAAGTTATTTAAAATATCAAAGGATATATATCTCCCCTCTTTCTACAAGCCTAGAGGAACTTAAGCAGAGAATCATTAAGGTGCTGAAGGATGTGTAGTGGAACCTTTAGAGGGGGCGCAATATAAAATAGCTTGTGTGCCCAAATAAAGATAGTCACAGGAGGCCTGCTAACATTTATAAATTAAAGATGTGAAATCTGACAGGTGGAACAAAAATAGACAACAGAATGAAGATATTTAAAATTAATACAAAATTTATTTAGAATACAGACCAGATTAAATTAACATGTAAGTCCGGTGAAAGTGTTGAAAAGTTGCTAATTAAGTGAACCTTCCGTAGTATTTTAACCGAAGTGTACAGAGTAGGTTATTTGAAGTCTAGATGATATAGCCAAAGAGAAGAAAGTTCAGATTAAATGTCCGGTGCTGCATTGCATAGTTGCTGGTCAGTCATTAGGCTTATTATAAATCTAAATGAACTTAAATTGAAGGGTGTGTGGCAATGCAATGGAGAAAAGGTCATGAAGACATATAACATCTGCCCTTGGACACATGGACAGAGTAGCAAAGAACTTCGATAAATGTTACACAAAACATGCTATAGTGTGTTTGGCAGCACCTGACATGTGTCGTGTCACAGTTGGTACACATATTGAACATTTGTGAAGCTTTGTGAAATCGGTTATAAAATCTACTTCCATGTGAATCTCTTGTTCAAATTTTGCTAAATAAATCTTTTATTGTTCAGCGTGAAGCCTGCTTAATTTTGTTTACTAGGGACATGTAGTTACTCAGATATTCACATTTTAAATTATGTCATATTTGGATATGAATCCAAACATGGCTATGGAAGTAAATCCTCTGCAAGGCAACAAGTTTAAAATCAGGGTTTTCCATCCCCTAGATGGTCTGCTTTCCTGGGCTATTGAGCTTACATCTACCCAAAGCAACTGGTTATGATGAGGTGCCAGTTTTCCGCTTTCGCCCATTTTCTAACTATTTGACACACATGCTACAGAAGCATTTTATAGACAAAGGGAGCTTGTTTCCCCTATCACCCTTTGATACTCTTTGGAACATATTGTGGAATGTTCCATATTAACCTTCCACCCCTTTCGGAGAAATGTTTCCTTTTATAAAACAAAGCCTTAACCAATCAACATTTTGTTTCAGCAAAATTCAATCTTCTATTGGTTAAAACAAAGTCATAACAGAACATTTTCCCGCCTAAGGTCCCTGGAGCCGAATTTTAAACACCCAACTCTATATAAACAAACACATGACTCAATTCAAGTACCCTGAACCTGTTTATACGGGTTCAATGGGCATATTTTTGGCAGAGCCCATGGGCTCGGAGATCCCACGTTAAAAAGGTCTTGTGCCACATGACGCCCTCGTGGAGGGGTGACTGAATATTGTCAGTAGTTCACTTCTGAACTGACTGTTCGGTTGGGCAGGGAGGAACCCGAACAAGGCTACGCAGAGGGGTGGAGTCTCATTTGGGGAGGTAAACCGGCCCTGAGCCCATTTATACGGGTTCAATGGGCATATTTTTGGGCCGAGCCCACGGGTTCAGAGAACCCACAATAAATAACCGACCTTGTGTCACATGATGCCCCAGTGTGGGGGGGAGGTGACTGAATATCCAGTCAGTCATCAAATTTCAAGAGATCCATACAAACGCTGTTCAATTTGCTGACTCACAACCACTTAAAGTTTTTCAACAAACTCAACGCAGCATTCAAATAACCATTGTCCGCGTGGATATTCATCATCGACTTAAAGAGTGAACACTTCCACTACGTCAAAGTAATTGTAAATTCATCAATTTAGCATATCAGTTAAAGGTAAACAACTTTTAGCAACTTTAATTCTGACTCATAAATAACACACGGACACACACTAACAGTTGAAGAATACATTTTGATTTTACTACGCAGAAACAAAAATTATTTTAATTTTGATAACAAGCCAAAAGCATCAGCATTTACTTACAACAATTCTACATGGACGTTCTTCACAACATTATCTCAATTACCAAACCAACAAAATTTCTGTTTATCTTTGCATGTGTATTTATTGTATATAAAAATCTCTTTATTGTTGATCTCTTATCACATTGTTCAGTCATTCCTTGCCATGCAATTGTCCTTATGTTCTTTGTGTAATCTATTTGTAGTGGGATAATCCAAATGGCAAACACGCATAATTTTCACCTTATAAAAATTTACCTTCTGATACACCTCACTCAGCATACAACCCACAACAATATAATGTACGTATAAATAAACATTTAAATTACGTGTTTTAGAAGCTCCCTAAAAAAAGTTAAAAAGTAAAACGTTTAGGTAAAGTAAAACTCTAAAGCAAGTCAAATTATGAAATAGTACATAAATATCAAAAAGTTCGTTAACTTTAGAAAAAGAGAGCAGAAACAAAAATAAAACTCATTAACATACAGTAACTGACTTTGTTGAAACTCCAAAAAATTATCAGATTTTAAGTTTAACTGAAAAACGTAAATATTGCTTTATGATTTATTTTATTTAAAAAATTATATATATTATGATTATTATTATATTTGTTGAAGTTATATTGTTGTTTTTAATTTTTAATTCTTTCAACTTTTTCCACAGTTTTTCTGTATATATGTGAAGAAGCTGAAGATTTGTTTCTTTGTGTTTTACTTTTATGGCATACCAAGCTCGTTGGGTTATAATGCCAATAATAATAGATATCCGGGCCTTGATAACTAGATAAATAGCTTGTCGTTCATACTTCGATTGTATATATGTTGATATTTCCACCTTGACAATCAGATAATCACACTTCGACATATATTCCGGCCTTAGAAGCTCTTGCAAGTACTTTAGCAGAGCTTAATCGTGGCATTGGGTGAAAGGAAAATTTTTTTTTTTTTTTTAATTTTGTTATGGATGCTGATTTATGAAAGGAAACTGTATATCTTGTTGGTGTCTTTGTTGTCATGTTGAGGGTTTTTGTTTTGTTTCTTTTTATCCGGGGAGGATTTTGTTTGGCTTTTTGATTTGTTCTTGGAAGTTGATCGTTGGCTCGGCTGGCTTTTCTCATGAGTTTGCGTCTTTTTGAGTTGCATTTTTTCCATGGTGTGTTCTTTTCGGAAGTTCAGTTGTGGTCGTGTTTTCTGATTGTTCTAGTTCTATTTTGTTGAGAAGTAAAAATCTGTTTTGTTTGAGTTTTCAGGTTGTTTGCTGTGTAGATTCTTTGTCTTGGTTTTGCAGGTCTGTTTGGCTTCTGCTGAGGCTTTTGGTTCTCTCTTTTTGAGTTTGTTTTGTGGTATTTGATGTGGAGTGTTCAATTGTTTTTTGGTTATTTTTAGCTGTTGTCATTGTTTCAGGTTTGAGTATTATGGTTAGTTCAGTAAATAAAATTTTCAGGTTATCTATTAAGGTTGAGATTTCTTCAGATTTGTAGTTAGTTTTTTCTGTTGTTTCTTTTTTTGGATATTCAGGATGTTTATTTTCTGAGGTCAGCATAGAGGCATATGTTATTGTGAGTGTCTGCGTTTTGACAATTTTTCTTGCTTCGAAGAAAGAGATATTTCGTAAATGTTATAGACAAGCGTATGGTTGCAAGAAAGAAATACGACAACAGTAGAAATAGATTTACGTGGTTTATTTCAACAGGAACGTAAGGTTTTAGGACAGCTACCTTGGTGTGGTAAAGTTCATAAGCCGGCTTTCGGATCTAGGTCGATCTCTCATAGTAGTTCACACATGTTGACGGTGGTTGATGCTCTCCTGCTGACAGCAACTAAACGTGACCGGTCTCCTTTGTGGCCACCTGTTGACTGCTGCTGAACTTCCCTGTGACCCCTTTTATAGCAATTTTTATGGCTTAACAGGCTCGAGAAATGAAGCGAGTATAATTAGGAGGGAAGCATTTTTATTGGACGAAAAATAGAGCACTTTAAATATTATTTTATTTTTCGACCGGAACACGTGTGTCGGAAACATTTGTAAAGAAAGTTAATGGTCATTTTGTGATGAGGCTTTATCCCGTTCACATCCGGTTCTCGCTCTTGAATATTTGCCTGTAAATCAGCCGAGATATGTCTTATTTTATTTTATAACAAATATTTTTGTTTTGTTGATTTCCTTTTCTTTCTGCCATACTTTACAATACATTCTCTTGAGTCTGCAGTGTGCTCCTCTTTGCAGTTTACACCTAAGTCTTTCCCTGCAATCTTCTGGATGTTCAGTCTCTGTATTTCCACATCATCTACACACTGGATCTCTAGCACAAGTTTCTTTGTCCGTATCTTTGGCATCGGTAACACCTAAGTGGCATTGGTATGTAGGTCTCCACTTTTGCTATTGAATATCCAAGAAAAAAAAACACCATAATTGTCACTGTCGTCAAATGCAATACAAACCAGCCATAATGTGGCCTCAGGGTTGCCTACCAGAAACACATGCAGGGACACCTACCTATACACAACATGGCACTACAGATACCCCTATATTATGCGACTGTTAATCACAGCAGCCTCTCTAAGCGCTACCAAAGAGTTCATGCTCCTAATGACCAGTCCAAAGCAACAGCCAGCAAACTGCCAACCCGGTACACTCAAAATGGAAGGTAACAGTCTGATCACGAAAAAGTTAAGTGTTATACCGGAACATACCTATTCTATTGTTAATAGACTCTCCCACATATGAGTAGTAGTAGTAGCAGTCGCCAGGGGGGCTCAGAGTGAGTTGGTGAGTCAGTCGATGTCGGACATTAAAGTATCAACCACCACAATTAGATTGCTGCATCATTAACTATTATTTCAAGTTCCTAACGTTTTGTACATCGAACCTCTTTTAGGAACGACTTAGTAAAATACAAGCCTCCACTGTGAAAACTACTCTACAACATTAAGAGAGTTAAAATATTGTGGCCCTGAAAGAAAGAGAGAACCGGTAAACCATATCCTGAACAGGAAATAAGGTATGAACTTCTACTCTTGTTCAATAAACATAGAAGGAGTGCGGGATGGGCAATAAATGAGCCTAACTACTCCTATTAACCTGTATTTAAAAAAAAAAAAAAAAAAAAAAAAAAAAAAAACACATAAAATATGAAAGAATTCATATTAACTTACCATAATCCTAATTTCATAGCTTTCAGTTTTTGGCTTTCCTTTTTTATAAATGGTAGTTGACCTCTGCACAATTAAAGTAGTTTTTTCCTGAAAATTCCAAAAAAGAGAGAAATAATGTTTACAAAAACAGCTTACTGTAGTAACACTTCTTTTTTACGCTTGAAACTAGGTACTACCAAAAATAAAATGGATGCATTTTTCCAAAATGAATGTAAAAAAACAAAAACATAAAAAACAGGGAATTATCCGATTCAATGAAATTTTACTTATTCATAAACACTGCACTCTGCATTATTGATATTACTTTCTACTGCAGTCTTTTTTAAGGGTCTCAATTGCAGTAGCCTTATTGTTAAATTTCACTCAAAGTTGTTTATGGTTGCCATTGCAGGATATGACAACACAACTATGAAATTAAACACACTATTCTTCAGTGGCAGTATTCTTCTTTATGTACAGCAAATGAAATGATAATGGTTGGTTAATTAATTGTAATAGTTTATTTAAACTTTGTGGAAATATTTTGGGTAGATCTGTTTCACTATCATGTGTACTTTTTAACGGGGGGGGGGTGATATTTTTTACAGTTATATAAAGAAAAATCCTGAAGATATTATTTCACACCGCACAGTAAAAAAACTATGCAATATAATGTGTGAATATATGAAAAAAATTGTCCCGAATCTTTTGAATTATTTTTATTCAATAAAAAACTCAAAAAATAATCTTTTTTTTGCCAGTTGGTGTTTGCATAAATTAATAAAAGTAAAACACGTTATTTTCTTTCAGACTGAAAAGAAGAAGAAAAAAACAATAACAGTCTATTGAACCACATAATACTCATTTATTTTTTTTATTTCTAATTTTTCAGTGCGATTATGAAATTCATCCAGCTGCTATTTGTATGAAGAAATTTTGGGTAATTTGCTACACAGAAAAAAGGTTTTATAAAAAAAATAACATTTGTCATTGCTTTTCTACACAACTTAAGTGCGCAGTAATTTAGGCCGTTAATTAAGCTTCCACGCGAAAAATGTTCCGCAGTGAATGTAGTTAAACAAGGCCAGTAATGACGGACGGCTGAACGCGACTGAGTCCGAACTTTTATGTCGATAACTCCAAAACGGTAGATTTTATCAAATTGTTTTTCTTATTTTCGAATTAAGCATGTATCCTAAATATAACGATTCAACAAATTTTTACTTAGCGCGGGGCTTAAAATGCAAACTACCCGAATGTTTTTATTATTATTAAATAACGTTTGAAGGATCGAAAAATAAAAGTATTGCATGCCATTTTTAAAAGATTTTTTTTTTCATTTTAGCAATTGCTGGATCATTTTGTTTGAATATTCAAAAAGGAACATTCATACAAAAATTATGAATTAATTAATTACTTCCTTTTAAAATACTCTTCCCTATCGGAAGAATTCAATAAGTCTTCTTAAATTCAGAAAACACGCGCGTGTGTGCGCACACACACACACACACACACATTAGGCGCAGTTAGATATTTTACAATTTTACCAAACAGGTAAGAAAATAAAAAATAAAAGTAATGTCTCTATTTGATTTATTTTCTCATCTCCTCTCCAGGAACTCAAGTATCATTCAACTAAAATAATAACCTCTATGTACGTAAAATAAAATTATAAAATAATACCTCTAATGTACGTAAATATAAAAAATAAAATTACTCATTCTAACTAAGTTTCATGAAATCGTATAGCGGGCAACGACAAAAAAATTATCTTCTTACACTATTGAAAAGATCATTTATTTTTAAACAAATGCAAATGTTTTGATTATTGCATTGCTGATATTTGTTTTAAGAGTTTTAAAATTTAGTGAGCGTTTTAATATGAAAAATATATTGAAAGAGAATTTATTTATTTCTCTTTCTCGGTTTTAATTAAACACTCGGTAAATTTGCAGATTTTGCCCCTGAAACCAATTGTAATGAAAAATTTCTTTTTGTTGTAAAAATAACAATAAATGTTTGCGGAAATGTACCGTTTACTTTATCGACAAGTTCGGCCTTATTTGCATAGTCCATTACTGTTTCCCTCGAGCAATCATCCGCGGAAGCTTACTTAGTTAACGGTCTTTTTTACTGATCTTCCTATCTTCTTACTCGCCTCGATTACTGCGAAAAACCAAAAGAAATCTTTTAAAAAACCCAAATTTAATAAAAAAAAAAAGAAAAAAAAAGAAAAAATTTGAACCTTAAAATTGTTTATGCTATTATTAAGTTCTTTCTAGCACTTTTTTTTTTTTTGAGGTGGAGGGGATAGGGGTGATAAATGCATCATTTCCTAAAAAGAAAAACAAAAGCATTTTGGGGGGTTTTATCTTGTAATTTTTATTTATCTTGTAATTTCAATTTTGTTTTTAGCTTATAATTTTAATTTTTCTTAATTTTTTTTTTCCTTTCTTTTAATGATATATTTGGAATAGTGTAGCTTTTCCTCTTGGGTTACTTTTTAAATTTTGAGCATTGCATGCGCAATAATCAAAACAAGTTAAGCTTCCACGCATGATTGCTCGAGGCAATAATGTGAACAAAGCCAATGGTTGCCGGGTTGTAGCCGCGACGCGAATGAGGTCGAACTTATACTGTCGATAACTCCTAAATGGTACATTTCCGCAAACATTTATTGTCATTTTCGAAATAAGCATGCAAATTTACACCAAAAGAGAAATTTTCATTACAATTGGTTTCCGGGGCTTAATCTGCAAATTCACCAAATGCTCTCTACTGTTTTTTTTGTTTTTTTTTTTAATTAATCAATGGCTCCCACCATTTATTTTAGGTCTGTTTCGTGACTTTTTGTTACTTGTCATATATAGTTTTAAGTTCACCAAAAAACAAAGCCTAGAGAAGATATTTTGAATTTTGATGAAGGATGTTCTTGTATTGGAAAGTAATGCGTGTGGAAAGTGAGAAAATCCGTTTATATAGAAATGAAAAAGATGGTAAGTTTTATTTTAAATGTGAGGAAAAAGAATGTAGTAAACCAGCATGTTTGCAATATTGAAACTGTATTCAGAAAATTTTTTAAAAATCGATAATCTTGCCTTTTAATAATTTTAAAATAAAATTTTAAACTTAAATTTTACAGTTTAAAATTACAGTTGAATAATTTACTGACAAATGAGGAAATGTACAGGATTGTGACTACCGTGGTTTCTAATTTCTGAAAAAAAATATTTTTCTTTAAGCGCATTTATCTTAATCGTTGTTTAAAAATGTGTCTTTCACAAAGTTTTGACAGATAATTATTTAAAGTCGGTCTTGATATTGGATTAAAAAATCAAAGCAGGATAAAAAATAGTCTGATAAAGATGGATTAATAAAAAAAATCTATAAAATATTATAATTAATAATCGAAAAGAGACAAGGGAAATTTGCTTAAGAACAAAAACAAATTATGGAAATTAGATACAATTTGCATGAGGAATGTTCTAAAATTTTAGTTTAATGGTTTATCTTTTTAGAAACACTCAAACTACAAAGTCCAAACAAAACCGGAATATCAGTGATTAAAAACGTAAATATTTTGGAAAAAGGCATTTTCTCTTTTCATTGGTGGGCTTTTTTTTAAAAAAATAAAAAATGTATGGTCCGTAAATTTTATGAGATTGAGATTTTAAGGATTTATTTTCTGTATAAAAAAAAAAAAAAAAAAACACATAGCGAAATATAATTTGAACATTCACGTTCACCACTCAAAGACTAAGCAAAGGGGTATAGTTTTTATAGGTAAATTTGCTTTTTAACCCTCGTGCTAAATATCTATTAAATTTTTCCCAAATCGTCGTATTTCCGTGTAAATGTGCATGCTGAACTCGAAATAATTAAATTTGTTAAAACTTACCGTTTTGGAGTTATCGACAATAAATGTTTGAACTCAGTCGCGTTCAGCCGTCGGCCATTACTGGCCTTGTTTAACTACATTCAGTACGGAACATTTTGCGCGCGGAAGTTTAATTAAGGGCCTTTTTATTGCTTTTTTTAACTGACCTTAATCGTCTAAAATTACTGCGTATTTAAGTTATGACGTAAAGCGATAACAAGTTTTTTTTTTTTAGTAAACCCCTTTTTCTGTGTAGAAAAGCAATGACAACTGTTGCAAAACTTTTATTTTAAATTAAAAACAATTAATGAGCAAACTTTATAAAGAGCATGAATATTTACAAAATAAAATGTTAGAAAGGAAATGATTAATGACCAAAGTTTGCGCATTAATTATTTCGTTTCTAACATTTTATTTTGTAATTTTTATTTTGTAGATATCATGCTCTTTATAAAGAGCATGGTTATCTACAAACTAAAATTACAAAATAAAAAAAAAATGCTAGAAACGAAATAATAATTAATGCGCAAACTTTGTAAAGAGTATGATTTTTTATTTACAAAATAAATAAAAAATGCTAGGAAGGAGCATTTCTTTTTATTTTGTAAATAAATAATCATGCTCTTTTCAAAGTTCGTGCAAACTTTGCGCATTAATTATTATTTGTTTTATTTTTAATTTAAAAGAAAAGCTTTATTTTATTATTTGTTTTTTTTTTATTTAAAAAAGATTTACTATAAAAAACAACAGTCGAAAAAAACAACAGGCGCTCGTTATTTATTGAAAAATCTTTGATACCTCTGATAAGCTTTAAAAATGTGTAATGAAGTCAAGGTAAACACTTTAAGTAAGAATTAAGAAAAAGGTTTTTGTTTTTTGTCCTATTTTGCACTTTAACTTGGGATTTCTTCATCGGAACTTTCTTGCATTTAATCACTAATTGTTATGAAATTATCTTATGAAATATATATATGGACGAGAATCCACATGTTTGTTTTAATTTGTATTACAAAAAGCTGATGCGTTCTGCTGCCGCCTTCAGTTGAATTTACTGAATAGAATTCTGTCTCCTGTCAAAGTTCTCTTTCTTTTTTATTTAACTTCCTATCGAACTACAATACTAACTAAACAGAAAGTCCTGTACCTGAAAATAATATATTAAAAAACATGGAAAGGAGGTTATATTCAATGTTTAAGGAAGGCTGGAGAGCAATCCAACTGAAACATTGTGATGAAATAAAAATAACGGAGATGAAGATACTAGTTTGAAAGCCATGAGAAAATTACAATATTTTCTCTTTGAATTTCAGATAACTCTTAAGTGGAACGGCTGACATGTAGTGAGTGATCAAAATAAAAAAGATGGGACACCTACTTGCATGAATAATTCTGGAAATAATCTCCTTTTTCGTAGAACTTCAGAAAGTAATTCATAATATAGATTCAAATTAATATCTAGTGCCGACAATTTCTTGAATTTTTAATAAAACAAAAAGGTCATTTCTAGGCACTTTAAGTGCCTAGAAATGTTTTTTTTGTTTTATTGTGCTTAGCAAGTTCTGTAGTACTTTTTCTTTTCTTTTTTTTTAGAATAGAGGTTTAACTGGTTACAGAAAGCGAAAATCTCAATTATTAAGTAAAATAAAATATTTACGTTCTTTATCAAAGGACTTCTTTCCATAATCGTAGCCGCCTTGTTTGCAGAGGAGCCGTATTGACTAGCTTCGATTTGAGACAACAATGGTGCAGACACTGAAGCATAGTTCGACATATTTCTTCTCTTGTCAGTTAATTTACCAAATGACTTAAAAATTGCTTTTTTATGAAACAAGCGCTGTTTTTATTTATTTATTTAATTTGTGAGTGTAGACGTTTTAAAGCAATTTTTAACAATTTTTTTTTGTTAATAATATAATAATGAGTACTTCACACATGCCATTTATTTAAACTTTGAACCTTATAGCATCGGCTTTGACTTTGAAACCTGACTCATTAAATCCCAATGTTTTTTAAAATATTTATTTATTTACTTTGAACCTTTTGTTTAGTTACCAAAATTCCCCAGCAATGCTAGGACCGTCGTTTAATTTCAGAAAAATGAAATATTTTAATTCTCAATGTAGTCGTAGTCGAATAGACAGTTAAAAAAAATTAACAACAAATAATTTCTTGGATGTTGGGACGTTATAACAACTGGAAACAAACAAAATGTTATTGCTTTGGGTGTCTTCTGTTGCAGGGAATTTTGTCCAGGCTTTCCCACATCAAAGGACTTAGATTAAAAAATTGCGACAAAACGCGAGTAAAAACAGCAAGATTAGAGCGGACAAACTTTCTCTTTTAGGCGTGTTGCGGGGCCGAGTAGGATGTCGCCCCCGCAAGGTTTTTATGTACGATAAATGTGAACAGCCAAGACAATGACGGGACAAAGGCAAAGGTTTTTGTTATGAACAAAAAGTGTCGAATTTATTAACACGTTTACATCGGTGTGGTCCGGTATGACTGGTTGATCGACGAACGTAGCTGGTTCGGTCGAATGTAGTTGATCCGGTCCGGTAGTTTAGGATTGGTAGGCGAACGTAGCTGGTTCGGTCGAATGTAGCTGGTCCAGTCGGATATAGTTGGTCTGGCCCGGTAGTTTAGGATTGGTAGGCGAACGTAGCTGGTTCGGTCGAATGTAGCTGGTCTGGTCCGGTAGTTTAGGATTGGTAGGCGAACGTAGCTGGTTCGGCCGAATAGCGAAGACGGAGTCCCTAAACAGGGGCCAAAAAATGACAATCGATCCGCCCCCAAGAAGTCGATGCGACTTCACGGGGCGGATCGACCGCGGAGACGGGATCGCGCCAAAGTGTATCACCAGGCGAAGACGGTGTCCCTAAACAGGGCCAAGGCAGAACAGTGATGCGACTTCACAGGGCGGATCGACCGCGGTGACGGGATCGCGCCAAAGTGTATCACTTTGCGAAGACAGAGTCCCTAAGCAGGGCCAAGGCAGCACAGTAATACGACTCCACAGGGCGGATCGACCGCGGAAACGGGATGGATCGCGCCAGAGTGTATCACTAGGCGAAAAGGTCAGAGAGGTGTTACACCTTCCAGGGCGGATCGACCGTGGAGACGGGATCGCGCCGAAGAGTAAACACTCTCGACAAAAGCACCGGAAGTTCACAAAGGCAGCGTACTACACTTTGATCCAGGCCGAGATTTATTTTGTAAAAATACAAAATTGTGGCACAAAGGCCGAAAAGGGGAGGGGGGTAAGGCTGGTCTTCACTAACTATCTTATACCTAGCTAATTTGATTCACGACCCATTCAGACATTACAATTTACTCATTCACCATAAGAACTCGTCCGTCATCAATCAATCCTCCTTGCACCATAATACCACATCCACTCTAGGGAGACCTACAAAACGCGCCCCATGTCATAATGATCCTAACACATATGTACAAAAAATTCTAAGATGAAAAAAATGAGATGGGGGGTGGGATGTGAACCCAATAACAAACTAAAATATTAACATAAATGAAAATAAAACGTTAACTGATGTTAGTAGGGCCCTTCCAACCCTCAAAATGCAGGGAGACCACTGTATTCTGCCCATTGGAACAAAATCAAGCAGCTCTCTCGCTAAGGGAGTGGGAAAGGTGATAAAAAATCATACGGGCATGGGGAAGTATAAAAGCTGACCCAGTCGAGATAGAAAGTGGGGATCAAAAAACAAACTGGGGAGGTTGGGAATCTCAGGCTGGATCATAACTAAAAGATGTGGCCGGGGGCAGGCCGGAACAACACTTACTCGCATTAACTAGGTACACCAAGGCTTGTCTAACCTAACCAAGGGGAGGGCACCACAGGAAGCCACCCCGATGTAACGTAGGCTTGACCTAAAACAGAAAATCAAGGCTAGCCCCGTTCACACGAACCAAGCTCGCCTCAGTCACCCACCTTTCGCTGAAGACTGTCGAATGCAAGCGTTTTCTATCAGTTCTAATCTTCGCCTTGAGCTGATGCTCAAAGAATCGGATCAGATCCTGATGAGAAAGACGGTTACCCCGCAAGACTTCCTCCTCTCGCGTCGTCCATATCACCATTCGGGCCGTGGCTAGCAGCATGAGAAACACCATCCGTTTCACCCCGGAATACGGGGGCGACACATTGTCACACGCGTATGCGCGATCCATGGGCACAAGCTTTTCGGGAGCGAGACGAGCCGTCAGCTCGCCGACATGGTCCCATAAGGGGCGGACACGGGGGCAATGGAAGAAGGCGTGCGAAGCCGTTTCCTCTAGACCAAGGCCACACCGATCGCAGTCTGGCAAGTCCGCCAAGCCCCATATGAAGGCCATGTCGTTGAGAGGCAGCCGATTCCGAGCCAGGTAAGCGAAAACTCAGGGTTACTGAGGTAATCCGCCGCTGGCGCCCAAGACCAGTGAGAGCGAAACTCATCATCCGACATGTCGAGATCCTCACGTAGGGGATCCTTCGACCCCCTCCACTAGCAAACGATAGAAGTCCTTTCTGGGCCGAGAAAGGTCACTGGACCAAGGGACAGCCAACAAGGCCAACCGACACTCGCGAAAGAAAACCGATTGAACCCGGGGTTTACGACGGCGATCCACCCGCGAGCTTGGGGGACTGATGGTAAGGCGAGGGAAGGCGGCCCTCACAATCCCCTCAATAATCGGATCTCCACCTGTCAAAGCGCGGCGTAGGAAAGCCAACCTCGAGGCACGTTTGTGGCTCAGCAAGTGTGGCATTCCCCAGCCCCCATGACACGGACGTTGTGCACAGACTTCTCTGTCGACCCGATTCGCGCGTCTCCTCCATAGAATGGAGGATAGCGCGCGCTCGAGCGGTTTCCTGTGGTCGTCACAGAGAGGAAGTACGGACAATCGATAAAGGACAAGAGGGAAAATGTATGTAGCACACACCTCCGCCCTGCCCTTCACGGACAACCTCCGTCGACGCCAAGTCTGACCGGCGGCGTAGACCTTTGCTCGTACTTCGGACCAATTCTTCTCCAGCTGGAGGTCGGGTCCAAACCACACT